TCCTCCTCCTTTTTTTTCCCCGAAGCCCCAGTAGATAGTTGTATGTCATAGTTGCGCATCCTTCTAGTTGCTGTATGTGGGACGCGGCCTCAGCATGACCAGAGAAGCGATGTGTTGGTGCGCGCCCGGGGTCCGAACCCAGGCCGCCAGTAGCGGAGCGCGCTCACTTAACTGCTAAACCATGGTGCCGGCCCAGTATTGTTTCTATCTATGAAAATATATCTATATGGTTATTTACTCATCTTCTAATCCATTAGTGGTATAAATAATCATGTAAATATATTTTAGTAATGGATTGGCATCTGTTTTAATTATGGTAGGAAAATGTCAAAATTGTTCTAACATTTTTTACTGTGGTAAATTTTTTCAGAACGAATCTTGTTTCATCTGTACAAACACCCATTTTTCTCCCTTCAGTACTATTTTGAAAGAAATCCCAGATCTAATATCCTTTTGTCCAAAAGTATGTCAGTATGCATTTCTAAAAGATAAGGAATTGTCTTAAAATATAACCACAGTGCCATTATCATACCTTAGGAAAACAACTCCTCAATAGAACCAAATATCCAGTCAGTGTTTAAATTTCCAGTTGTCTCAACTGGCATAAATGTTTTTAGTTTTTTTGCAGGACTTATTTTGTAAGTGGTATAATTCTGTCATAAGGCACGTAGTATCCGTTCTCTTTTTGTGATGCTAGCAGGCATTGATGCTCATTGCCTAGATTCATTAATTTGTTAGAGGGTGTGAAATAGTGATATTTCAACTCTATGAAGTCTTCGTTTATTATCTTAGATACTTGTGAAAAAGATATTTAGCCAAATGTAGCATTTGATTATCCAGTAGTAAAGTTTATATTTAAAAGACAGGGTAGATGCTTAATTATTTTGCTTTATTTAGCTTCAAAATAAAGATTTATTCCCTTTCATCCTTCAGCAATGACCAATTGATGTGTTTGTGTTTTTTCACTGTATAAATTACACTGCTGTCATTTAGCTTATTTCTAATATTCCTTATTGATATTTAAATTGTTCCATCTCTGGCCAGGAGGAGCCTCTTCAAGTTGGCTTCTAAGTCCTTTTTAAGTGACTATGGTAGCCTTCCATAGCATCCTTGCTCTCGGGCATGGTAAAGCGTTAACAGTTTCAGCTTGTAAATTTCTAGACCGAGACCTGGCATCGGTCTTTTCTCTTAAGCAGCCCTATTTTCTTTTGGTGGAAATGATATTTCATAATTATAGTCTAGGCAGTAGGGGCTTACTTACTACTGAGTTGTAATATAGTGACTTTCGAGTTACTGAGATGGAGGCAGTGAATACTGTTTTTCACTGATATCTGAACTGTGTTTCAGTATTCTGTCATATGGGTGTCTCGTAATAACTAATACCTTGAAGATAGTTGTGTAGAAGTCTTTCCTTCATGTGTTTAGCCAGAAGCGTTTCAGTGATTGGTGGAGTAATATTGGATAATACTTATATTTTACAGTGGATTTGAGAATGTTTGTAAGTACACAATAAAATAGTGAAAAGCAAAATCTGGAATTGGGTTGAGAAATACAGAAAATCACCATCATGTACGTAGCGTGCTATAATGAAGCCTTAACATTGTGTCTGAGTTGCATGGTCCTCAGAACTGAAAAGTGTCATTTTGGGATACTTTTTCCTGTCAAAACCAAGGGAAACAAACAGGTATCAGGAGTGAAAGACTTGAAGAGCAGTTTCTTAAACAATCCTTTATTCTCTTAACATAAAGGAAGACTGGAAGTAATTTCCTCAGTTAATCAGGGACTCAGGCTCTGTTTCTCATTGCCAACTTAGAACGTGGCTTCCAATCCTAACTCAGTGTAGCTGGACTTTATATTTTAGCCATCACATCTCTGCATCTGTAATGGAGGTTGAGGTTTAGACTTGAAGAAGGAAGAGAGGCAGAAGGCTAAAAGGACATTTCTAGTTGAGAGAACTTAAGCAGCCTTAATGCTCCCATACGACATTTCTGTTCTTAACTCATTGACCACAGTGTCATCCTATGGCCATACTTAGCTACAGAAGAGGCTAGGTAATATGGTTTATTTAGGGCAGCAAAGAGCTTACATAAAAATTGAGATTCTGTTCCTAAGGAAGAAAAGGAGAGTGGATTTTATGAGTCTCCTAGCTGTCTGCTGCAATATAATTTTCCCAAAGAAGAGCATAGCTCTTTCTAGTCCAGTATTGTAAAATATACATGAGATTTTATGAAGGAGATGCTGAGTGATGTGGTAGTGGTCAGCGCCCTTGACAACAATCTTTGTAGTGGGAGGAATGGCGAATTTTACACAGCTGTTTATTAGGGTGTCGTTGATAGCGACTGAGAGAAAGTAAAAATTTGTTTTCTGACTATAAAAGTAGTATCTGTTGTGAAACATTTAGGTAATAGGTCAAAGTGTGAGAAGATAAATGACCCTACTGTGCAGAAAGGTGAGCACATAATGTTGTTTCCCAGCAGAGGTAATTCTTTTTGGGGCTTGAGTTTAGGCATGTAGTTTGTCTTAATCTAATAATAACAGGAATCCTGTTCATTCTAAAAGAATAAATGAATTGCATATACACTCTGATCTTTTATAATATCACTTGTCTTAGCTGACCGTCTCATTAGGTGTAGAATCGCACACAGTTGAAGATGATACTAATGAAGGCCTAGAGTGTGCCTTTGCTTTATTATTGATTGCGAATGAATTGTATGTAGTGTTTGATTGTCAAAACAAAAGAGAAGTGTACAGATATGGGGTAGGAATTTCATTTGGCTGCAAGTGAAAAACCTCGTAAGTTCCTTAAATACACGTAAAAGTGGTGAAATTGACAACTTGTGAAGGGTTGAGTTTGATTTAGAACTCCCTGTGCATAGAAAAATGTTCCACTGTAATCTGAGTGTGGGCTGCAGATGAACCTTGAGAAAAAAGTGATTTCCTTAGAAATCAGTTTCTCTCCGTAGAGCATTTGTGCTTATACTTATTTGATTGTCCAGTTATAACTTAGAGCATGGCCAAGATGTCAGTTTTGAAATTTTTCCAGTGAGATTTTAAATTGAACACAAAACATAATGCCATGTTCAGCAGTGTTCAAATTGGAGAAAAAGGACACCTAGTCACTTGAATTCTCTAACTGCGGAGAAGGAAAATGATCTTCATTCAGTACCTTTCTCGTAGTGGAAGGTCCCTTGCCTTGAATGGTCACAGTAACATTACAGTCTTTCTTTTGTATCATGTAAGTGAAATATAGGTAGAAGAACTAGTGACATTACTGTTGTGGTTTTCTACAAATTATAAAACATGCAGTTTGAATACTTTTGGAGGAGGATTCTGCTCTTATATTTTCCTTTAGAGAAAGGAATTACAGTTTTGGAAAATCATAGGGACGTTTTGAGTAGCTAATATGAGAGAGCTTGTTTGAGTTGGTCCTAGTAGGGCCAATACAAATGAACGAATATTTCTGTATTAAATACGAAAAACAGGGCCTCCTAGTTGCCTCTGAGATTTTATTTGTATTAAATTTCTAACATGAAGTACAGCTTGCCTTAAGTTTTGTTATAACTTTAGGAATTTTCTGTACTAGTTTAAGAAGTATATAAGCTTATGATTCCTAGAATCATAATGATTAGTTTTTCCTCTTTATATCCTTTATTTATCCATCAGTTCAGTAACTAATATAACTGGATACTTAAATTTGTAGGAAGTTGGAAGACTTCAGAATAGAGAAAGGTGAAGAGGAAAGAAATCTTTATATAATTGGAAGAAAAAGGAAGACTCTCCAGCTCTCACAAAAGGTAACCTAAATTCTGTTTTTTTAGTGATATAGGGTTTTTTTGTGTGTGTGTGAGGAAGATTAGTCCTGAGCTAACGTCCGTTGCCAATCCTCCTCTTTTTTGCTGAGGAAGATTGGCCCTGGGCTAACATCCGTGCCTGTCTTCCTCTACTTTATATGGGACGCCGTCCCAGCGTGGCTTGTCAAGCAGTGCATCGGTGTGTGCCCGGGATCCGAACCTGTGAACCCCGGGCCACCGCAGTGGAGCACGAGAACTTAACTGCTGCGCCACTGGACCGGCTCCTACAGTTTTCTTTTTGATCAGTGAGAATGTTAGTAACTTTTGCCCAAAGTAGAATAATTATATCTTGCTTAAAGCCTTACTGTTTGGGATTTAAAATAGTAGACATAAGGTTGTACAGCTGTTAGGAAAGAGTAGTTTGAAAACTTGAGGGTAATAGCCTAATGCCTAACAGTGCTAAAGGATTCTAGAAAATTATCGTTTAATGACCACTCAGGTCAAGAACTGGAACATCACTAGCCTATCAAAAGTATTTTCTGTTTATTACCGATCACTTCTCTCTCCTTTCTCCCATGGGTAACCAACTGTCTTACTTTTGAAACGCTGCTTGGCTTTGTCTGTCTCCAAAGTTTATCCAAATTATGCATTTATAAAAAATCTTAAGATGTTACAATGGTTTGTGAAACTAACTCAGCCCTACCCAAGGAAAAGCTTATTCTTTAGTATTTAATTTCTCTATTTGGATTTTTTTGAACATCACATGAGCAGCATTAGCACTGAGTTCATGAAAGATACGCAATGTATGCAGGATTAATGCTACAAAACTAGGGTGATAAATGGTTGTGTTTGCAAGATTTTCTGTCAATTGATCATTCAGTCTTGAAGTCATATTATAAGAGATGGCCTGTGCATGCCTGGTTGCCATCAACTGCCTCGTTGTTTAAGCTTGATGCTCAGTGCTTTTGTATATGACTTGGGCTTTGAGAATTAAAAATAGTTTATATCCTAATACTTAATTAAAAAATGATTCAACTGAGTTGTGAAGTACTGAAAATAAAAAAATGTTGACCATCTGAATGAATGTCTTTGGTAGAGTTAGGATATTTTCTCATATAAAAAATTTTAAAAGTTAAGTTTACTAAATTTTTAAAGAAATTAATGTTTTCAATTGCTTTACTTATGCTGGAAAAATAAATTTTGAAAGATTTAAAAAAATTATATTGCTGTTATGTATTCATAAATTTCTAATTGGGATATGTAATTTGATATATTACAATCCATATAGTTAAATCACATTAAAATTATTCAAGAAATAAAGTTAAATGTGAAGAGCTTTAGCATTTTCAATTTAACTTTTATCTCAAAAATTTTAGTTACTCTTAACCCTGTATTGAATAAAAAGACTAAGCTTTATTCTTAATCTTTTTATGTACAAAGCACAGATATACATATAGTGCGTAAACAGTTATATACTGTATCTGTGGTATTAAAATTTCATGGGGGAACAAATTAGGAAAAATTCTCAAGTTTTCCTGTAGGGTAGCAGTAGTGTAAAAAGGTTGAGAAAGACTGAGCTAAATGGGATCGTACGGTATGTAATCTTTTGTATCTGGCTTTGATTATTTGACCTTGTGAGGTTTATCTATGTTGTTGTGAGTAGTTGAAGTTCATTCGTTTTCATTGTTTTATAGTATTCCCTTGATGAACATACTGCTATTTAATCAGCCTATTGAAGGACATTTGGGTCATTTTCATATTTTTACTATTAGGAATTAGACTGCTTTCAACCTTTTGTACATATATCTTGGTATCCATGTATGTATTTCTTTTAAGAAATATGCCTTGGAGTGAAATTGTTGGATCATAGTGTATGTGTATATTCAACTTTTGTAGTTAATGCCACATGTGGTTTCAAAATGATTGCACTCTTAACCTTTAGTGAGATATGTGTTAACATTGCACTATGTTTGTAGATTTCTCTGTTTCTACTTGTTTTGCTTTATGTGGTTTGAAGCTCTGTTGTTGGTGGGTACAGATTTAGAATTTCCCCTTTTCCTACTGAATCGAACCTTTTAACATTATGAATTTTCACCCCTTAATGTTTTATTCTTCAAATTGTTTTATATTAATATAGCTGTGCTGGCTCTTTTTTGGCTAGTGTTTGCATTAGTAGATGTTTCCATCCTTTACTTTCTCTCTCCTCCTTCTGAGACTCCAGTTCTGTGTATATTAGACATTTACTGTTGATTCCCTTTTGTTTCTTAGGCTGTTTTCTGCTGTTCTGAATTTTTTTCTGACCTATATTCATTCCAGTTTATTAGTTCTCTTTAGCTGTGTGTAATCTGTTGCTAAACCTATTGTGTTCTTAGTTTTAGTTATTTTCCAGTTCAGAGTTTTTGTTTGGTTTCTTTTTCAGATTTCTGCTGAAGTTCTCATTATTTTAATTTCTTGAAAATTAGTCACAGTTATTTAAAAAATCCATGTCTGGTAATTTCATTATTTCAACATCTTGCTCCCTTCAACAGGGGGGATCGGTTTCCATTCCCTGTTGATTTTTTTCTCATTTTTTACAGTCAGATTTTTTTTGTTGCCTGTGTTTTTCATTGAATATTAAATGTTAGAGATTCGAAGCCTAGGATGGTATTTCTTCCCCAGAGAAGATTTAAATTTGCTTCTGGTAAGCTTCTAGGACCACTGTCAAGGCTATATTGCCTTAATCCAAATAAGGATGGGCTTTTGTTCCTTGGGATTACTGTTCACCTGTAGTTTGCCCCTTGGGCTAACAGCCAAAGCCTGGGGTGTTCTCCTACACATAGGAGGCTCTGAACTGCGGATTTTGTTAGCCTAACTCATGAGTTTAAAATGTCTGTCACTTTTTTGCTTCCCTGCTAAACCTTTCAGCTGCTTCTTCCAGAGTGAAATTCTAGGGTTCTTTTTTGTTGTTTATCTTCTTTTTCTGTCTTGGTCCTGTAATTCTTCATAGCCTTTTTAGTTATGTAATGCCCTCAAAATGATTTTTTAAAAAAATATATTTTGAGAGATTTTCTTGTTCCTCTTAGTGGGTGTTTTGGTCCACTTATGTTTACATATATTATCAGACGTGAAACTCATTAATATGAGTTTTTGCTTTAACATAAGTCAGTACTGACAGATTAAGGAAAGCACAGTTCATTTTAAAATCAGCCAGTGGTATGTTGAAATGATAATATACATCAATTATTATTAAACAGATGGCACTAATGTAAAAATTGATTTGTGTATCAGTTCAAAGAATATGTGCTTTTATTGAGTGATTTCACGTATGACTTTGGTGACTGAGGAATAGCATGCCACCCTCCCCTTTCAAAAAATTTCAGTCTACCTACTTTATTTGGCTGATTTTTAAAGATTAATTTTTTCTTTCTTTTTTATGTTAAAATGTTTTAAGAGTATTTTTAAAATAATTAGCAATTTATCATTCCACGAAGCTAGATACACGAAGCTAGATACACTAAATAAAGTTATGTTGTAAATTATGATCATCTTTTAAAAAACAAAATTCTTGAAATAGTTGTCACAAGGCATTAATTATCATATGTAGGAATTATAAGATAAAATGTGAAGTTAATAATGAGAAGCAAATTTTTCAAATTATCCTTTCAATTAGAAATTAAGTCTTTAGAGTGTTTAATTTTCATTAATCACTATCATTGTTATGTAGTCCTTGTAATAAATTGAATTTGATTCTGAATCAGTTGCAGTAGGACAGTGTTTATTCCATTTCCTCCTGAGAGAGAGGCTCCCCTTCTTTACAGCAATACTTCGGTCATCACTGGAGGAAATTCTTCAAATTGAATGTGTCAGATTATTTGTTTCGGTAAAAATATGATATTTTAAAAAATCAAACAGAGCTAAAAAGTACTGACAAGAAAAAAATCATCTAAAAATTGAAAACCTGGAAATAACTAGGGTTAATATTTGAGGATTATTTCAGATATTTTTTATACCTGTGTGTACACACAGTGATATATTCCTTAAGGTTGGTTACTGCATCATAATTTATGAATAGATATTTTCACTTCTGAGATATATATTTTTAAAGTGATATCCTTTTTAGGTTATTGTTACTATTGTTACCACTGTCTTATTCATGGTATACCAATTAACTTACAGTTTAGTTTTGAAAATGCTGATCTGATGTGCCTAAGTTAGCCATGTCTTGTAAGTATCTTAAAAGTAAAAATACCAATGTTGTTTTAATAGTATATGGCAAAAATATCATCCATTGGAGAATATTTTCTTCATTTTTTGAACTATTACTGTTATTATTTTTTGCCTTAAATCTTTTTGGAAATTTGATAGAATGCCCATTTTGTTGAAGATTGTACTTATTTAGGTGTTGATTTTCATCTGCGTGTTTCTTTATGTTTCAGTCTGATTCGGTGATTTTGATGTCCCAGTCTAGGCAGAGGACATGTAGACGTAGATATCCAAATTATGGTAGAAGAAATCTTGGACGGCTTGAGTTATCTTCTGGAAATGAATCTTCAAGCTCTATAAGACATGTGAGTTGTGTAACTTTAAAATAATCTTAAATAATTTCTTAATTCTTTAATTTGAATCTACCTTGAAATTATGGGAAAATATAGTATTCTGTAGAGATTAAGGTGAAATTTTACATTTTGAATTTTTTAACAAAAATTTTGAACAGCTTTCTTGAGATACTACTCACTCACCATACAAATGTACAATCCAGTGGTTTTAGTATATTAATAGAATTGTGCCATCATCACCACTATTTAATTTCAAAATATTTTCATCACCCCTAAAAAGAAACCCTACACAGTACTCATTTGCAGTTACTCCACATTCCTACCTCACCCAGCCCCTGGTAACCACTAATTTACTTTCTATCTTTATGGATTTGCCTATTCCAGACATTTGCATATCAATGGAATCATACAATATGATTTTATGACTAGTTTTTTTCACTTAGCGTAATGTCTTCAAGGCTGACCCATGTGTAGCATGTATCAATACTTCATTCTTTTTCATTGCCCAATATTCCATTATATGAATATAGCACATTTTGTTTATTCACACATCAGCTGACAGACATTTGCATTATTTCCACTTTTGGCTGTTATGAATAATGCTGCTTATCAACATTGATGTATGGGCTTTTGCGTGGACATGAGTTTTCAGTTCATTTGTGTGTATCTAGGAGTCAGTCGTTGGGTCATATGGTAACTCTATGTTTAACATTTTGGGGAATTCCCATACTGTTTTGCAAAGCAGCTGTACTATTTTATATTCCCGTCTGTAATGTATGAGGGTTCCAGTTTCCCCACATCTTTGTCAACACTTGTTATTGTCTGTCCTTTTGATTTTAGCTAACCTAGTGGGTGTAAAGTGGTATTGCATTTCCCTAATGACTAATGGTGTTGGACATGTTTTCATTTGCTTATTTTCCATTTGTATCTCTTTGGAGAAATCTACACGGATCTGTTGCCCACCTTTCAATTTGGTTGTCTTTTTTATTGCTGTAAGAGTTCTTTATACATTCTGAATTCAAGCCCTTTATCAGATATATAACTTGCAAATATTTTCTCCCAATAAGTGGGTCTTTTTCACTTCTTTGGTGGTTTCCTTTGAAGCAAAAAAGTTTCATGTTTTGATGAAGCCCAGTTTATTTTTCTTCCCCTTAGTTGCTTGTGCTTTTGCTGTCATATCTAAGAAGTCCTTGTCTAACCCTTTTGCTTGACTTTCAGTAACCATATCTAAGTTACTGGTCTTAATTTTGATTTTTTGGTGAGGAGGAAACCAATATTTTTGGTAAACAGTTTAAAATTTAATATTAGAATGTTAATCTTTTCTAATTCAGTAGTGTTTTGGGCATTGAAATGTTCCATGTGGACAAACAATTCATTTAATTGCTTTATAAAACAATAGGATAGTCATCAGGCATAGAGTTTGAGTTTAAATCCAGATTCTTCCACTTTGACAAGTTGCTTAACCTCTCTGTGCCTCTGCTTATATCTATAAAAGTAATTAATAACAGTATGTCCCTCAGAGGTGTTGTGAGAATTAACTGATCATGTAAAGTGTTTAAAACAGTGCCTGATATCCAATAATGTTAGCTCCTGTTATCAAAACTGTTCATTTAAATGATTTTGTTTTATGTAATGGGACTATTTTGTACATTATTTTCTTCTTATTTATAGTGTATTGAGAATGTTTTAACCTTTTCTTAATAATTTTGGGTAATTATGAGAAATGTTCCCACTCATCCTCTCTAGATAACCCATTTCACTAGCTTATCCTTCCTATGTTTTTCCCCATACATTCAATCAGCTTTGTATTTGTTTTGTTATTTCTTCTTTTGTACACAAAATATAGCATATTACAGATGCTCTTTTGCACTTGGCTCTTTTCACTTAAAATACTTTTGAAATCACTCCATATCAGTTCATAAATATCTTCTTCATGTTTTTTTTTAAGAGTTGCATCATATTTAATTGTGTGATTGTAACAGTTTATTTAACGACTCTCCTGATTGTGGCCATTTAGATGTTTCCAATATTTTTGTTATAAATAATGCTACAGTGAATAATCTTTTGTGTATGTATGTATTTTTGTACAGTTGGCGATGGAATTTTGGGGTACATTTCTTAAAGTGAGATTTTTGGGTCAAAAGATAAATGTGTAAGAGTTTTATGAGATATTGATAAAAATTACTCCTAAAGGAGAATTCCAACTTGTATTTCTGCTTGTGGTGTATGAGAGTGCCTGTTTCTCTACCCTTTAGCCAACAGAGTTTGATATACTTTCTAATTTTTGCCAGTTTAATTGGTGAGAGGTATATCTTAGTGTAATTTTATTTTTTATGTTTTGGCTATTTTTTTAATGTGATAAAATATATGTAACATAAAATTTATCATTTTAACTATTTTGAAGCGTACAGTTCAGTGGCATGAACTGCATGTACAGTGTGTGTAACCATCCACCACTATACATTTCTCGCTCTTTTTCATCTTCCCAAACAGCAACTATACAATCATGTAGCTTAATGACGGAGATACATTCTAAGAAATGCATCATTAGGCGATGTTGTCGTTGTGTGAACATCATAGAGTGTACTTAGGCAAACCTAGATGGCATATAGCCTACTACATACCTAGGCTGTGTGTTATTAATCTTATGGGACCACTGTCGTATTTGTGGTCTGTCGTTGACTGAAACGTCGTCATGCGGTGCATGACGGTACTCATTAAACAATAACTCCCTATTTTTCTCTCTCCTCAGCCCCTGGTAACTTCTTTTCTACTTTCTCTCTATGAATTTACCTATTCTAGGTACCTCATGTAAGGGAAAGCATACAGTATTTGTCCTTTTGTCTTTGGTTAATTTCACAGTGTGGTTTTATTTTGAATTTCTCTTGTTTGTGAAGTTGAACATCTTTTCATATATTGAGTCTCTTTTTTTCATTTTTGAGCATTGTCTATGTCTTTTGATTGTTTTTGTTGTGTTCTTAGTCTTTTTTCCTCCCTCAGTTTTTAAAAGTTCTTTATATATTAGTTCTTTATCTTTGATGTATATAGAAAATATTTTCTCCCAGCTTCTAAGTTAGTGGGATTTTCTCTGCCATTGTCCTCTAAGTAATTATTGTTTGTGTATATGAAGACTGTTGATTTCAGTAGGTTTAATTTTTTACATATCTTGCTGTTACTGAATTTTTGAATTAATTTCATCATTGAATTCTCTGAGGTTTTCCAGGTGTATGCTTATTTATATCTATATACATATGCATATACTTTTACTACTTTTCTTCTAATTTTTAGACCTCTAGTTGATTTCTCTTGTCTAATTGCATTGTTTAATATTTCCAGTACAATATTGAATAGTAGTGGAGAAAATGGACCATATTGCTATTGTTGGTGGAAATGTGTCTACCATTTCCACATGAAGTAAGATGCTTTATTTTAGGTCCCTAGAGTATCCATATACATTTTATTATGCTAGGGTAATAACTAATGCTTATTTTCTTAAGTGTTCTTTTTGAAAAATCAGGAATGATTATAGATGGTTTTTTTCATTTTAAATCAGTGGTATTAATCTTATTATTTTTCTCTTTATATCTATTAATTTGGTGTATTTTCAGTTAATAGGGAACTTTGAAATAACATATGTAGACAATGTAGAATGTTAAATCTACTTGATCTTTTAAAATAAATAATAATTTGTATCATGGTAGCTTATTTTACCTCCTGCAGTGGTGTGAATTCATTCTCCTATGTTGTTTGCAGAGGGGTGGAGATCCGGGTGTGTGTGTGTGTGTGTGTGTGTGTTGGTTCCATTCTGTTTTGGTTTGGGAAGCACTGATAGTAGAAAAAGTACAGACTTTAGAGTTAGCCTGATTTCTAATTCCAATGCTTGTACTTAGTATCCTGTGACCCCAGACATATTACTTTACATTTCTTAGCCTTGGGTTTCCCTATATATAAAGCGGTAGTAGTGGGCAGGTAGGGACTTAAGATGTGATAACAAGACTCATGGGCAGGGTATGTCCAAGTTTTGTGGGGTTCAAAGCTTGTATAATTTTAGGGGCCTTCCTTAAGAAAAAGAACTCAAAACTCTTTAGGCATAGGGCCTTGGTAGGCAGTTTAAATTGAAAGCCTCTGAAACTTGTTTCATTAGCTTTATGTTAACCCTGCCTCTGTTTACAAAGGTGTCTTGAGAGTTAATTGAGATAATACATTTAAACATTTCACAGAGTGCCTGGTTTCCAGATAGTAGCTTTTAAGAGTTTCTTGTATTACTGTGATTTTTTTTTTTTCTTTTTAAGTTCATATGAGCAGAAAAAGTAGATTCCTGTTCAGTAGGTCTAGTGTGGTAGGCCTAGGAATCTGTACTCCTGAAACAGCATTGGGCTTACATTTTGAGAAACATTTTTTTAGAATATGTTGACTTTGCATTTTTCCTATTCAAATGAAGTGAACAGAGGTAGGTATTTACTTGAGGTTTGGTCGAGTTTTGGTTCTCAGTGGCATTTTCATTATCTATGCGTCAGGAGGAAAAGGTCGTGTCTCAATTTAAAAGTACCTGCCTAGTATCCATGACCAGAACGTAAAGTAGACTGTAAATATTAGGGTTGTGGCAATCAGATAGTTGTATGTTCCCCTTACTTAAAACAAAAAAGACTTTGTCTTAGAGCGGATTTAGGTTTACAGAAAAATTGCACAGTAAGTACAGCAAGTTCCCGTATACTCCCTCTACCCCTACACACAGTCTCTCCTATTAGTAACATCTTGATTTAGTGTGGTACATGTGCTACAGCTGATGAACCAATTTTTATATTACCATTAGCTAAATTCTGTAGTTTATTAGGGATCATTCTGTGTTGTACAGCTGTATGGGTTTTGACAAATGTGTAATGTTATGTATCTGCCGTAACAGTATCATACAGAATAGTTTCATGCTCCTGAAGACCCCCTGTGCTATACTTAATCATCCCTCCCTCCCTCCCTCTTACTAGTGGTTGCCAGTGGCAACCACTAATCTTACTACTGTTCTCATAGTTTTGATGTTTCCAGCATGTCATATAGTTGGGTCATATAGTATTTGGCCTTTTCAGATTGGTTACTTTCTAGTAATATGAGTTTAAGTTTCTTCTGTATTTTTTCATGGCTCGATAGCTCATTTCTTTTTGGCACTGAATAATATTCCATTGTTGAGATTTACCACAGTTAATTTATCTCTTGTTCACCTACTAAGGACATGTTAGTTGCTTCCAAGTTTTGGCAATTATAAATAAAACTGTGATAAACATCCACGTGCAGGTATTTGTGTGGACATGATTTTTCACTGCGTTTGGGTAAATACCGAAGAGCGTGATTGTAAGTCTATGTTTAGCTTTGTAAAAAACCACATTCTTGTTAGCAGTGGATGAGAGTTTCTGTTGCTCCATATCTTTAAGATGTCAGTTCTAGGGAGGTGGGCGAAATGGGTGAAGGGAGTCAAAAGGTACAGACTGTCAGTTATAAATAAGTCATGGAGATGTAATGCACAGCATGGTGACTATAGATAATTATATTCTATTTCATATTTGAAAGTTGCTAAGAGAGTAAACCTTAAAAGTTTGCATCACAAGAAAAAACTTCTGTAACTGTGTATGGTGAGGGATGTTAACTAGACTTATTGTGGTGATCGTTTTGCAGTGTATACAAATATCAAATCATTATGTTGTACCTCTGAAACTAATATGTTGTTTGTCGGTTACACCTCAATTCAAAAAGAAAAAGATGTCAGTTCTTCCTGACTTCCTCTATAGATTCAGCGCAATCCCAATCAAAATCCCAGCAAGTAAATTTTGTGGATATTGACAAAGTGATTCTAGAGTTTATATGGAGAGGAAAAAAACTCAGAATAGTTAATCGACTACTGAAGAGCAATACAGTTGGAAGACTGACACTACTTGACATTAAGACTTAGTATAAATCTACACTTTTCAAGGCGGTGTGATATTGGTGAAAGAATAGATGAATAGATCAATGGAATGGAATAGTAACCCAGAAATAGACCAACACAAATATAGCCTACTAGTCTTTGACAAAGGAACAAAGACAACTCAATGGACAAAGCATAGTCTTTACAACAAATGACATTGAAACAACTAGACATCCACATGCAAAAAAAATAAATCCAGGGGCCGGCCTGGTGGCGCAAGTGGTTGGGTGCGCGTGCTCCACTGCGGGGGCCTGGGGTTCGCCGGTTTGGATCCTGGGCGCGCACCGACGCACCGCTTGTCGAGCCGTGCTGTGGCAGCATCCCACATAAAGTGGAGGAAGATGGGCATGGATGTTAGCCCAGGGCCAGTCTTCCTCAGCAAACAGAGGAGGATTGGCAGATGTTAGCTCAGAGCCAATCTTCCTCACCAAAAAATAAAAATAAAAATATAAATCTAAACAGACAAAAATTAACTCAGATCGTAAACTTAATGTAAATGTAAAACACAAAACTATAAAATTTCTAAAAGATAGCATATAATAAAATTAGGTGACCTTGGGTGTTGCGATGACTTTTTAGATACAATATCAAAAGCATGATCCAGAAAAGAAAAGCTCAACAAGTTGGACTTCATTGAAATTAAAATCTACTGCACTTGGAAAGATATTGTTAAGAGAATGGAAAGGCAAGTCACAGACTGGGAGAAAATATTTGTAAAGCTCATATCTGATGATGGACTTGTATTCAAAATATGCCACAAATTTTTAAAACTTAATAAGAAAACATACAACCCAATTTAAAAATCAGCAAAAGATCTAATAGACACCTCATCAAAGAAGATATAAGATGCCTAAGAAGCATGTGAAAAGATGCTCAACATCACGACATTAGAGAATTGAAAGTAAAACAAGATACCGCTACACACCTGTTACAATGGCTTAAGTCCAAAACACTGAGAACATTTACATGGACTTTTTATTAACTTAGAGACTGGCCTGTTGTATCAATTTCCTTTATTAATAGTAGTAGTGTTGGGGCTGGCCCAGTGGCGCAAGTGGTTAAGTGCGTGGGCTCCGCTGTGGTGGCCTGGGGTTCACCTGTTCCGATACCGGCCGTGCACCGATGCACCACTTGTCAAGCCATGCTGTGGCGGTGTCCCATGTAAAGTGGAGGAGGAAGGGCATGGATATTAGCCCAGGGCCAGTCTTCCTCAGCGAAAAGAGGAGGATTGGCAGCTGTTAGCTCAGGGCTGATCTTCCTCACACACACACAAAAATAGTAGCGTTAAGTCTCACAAACATTCTCTATTGCCTTATGCCTTGATAAGAAAAAGGATGTAGTAAAGACATTTGCTTTTTAAATTTATCTAATTTTTAAATTTATCTGTATTTTATTACCCAATTATCACACTTCTGAGATGATTAGGATGACTGTGGTTTTTCTTGTGTTGTTTAACCTCAGAGATCAAGATTTTTATTTTATTTTTTTCCTTCTCACAAATTAGGAGACTTCTTGTGATCAGAGTGAAGGTTCTTGTTCTTCTGAAGAAGAAGAATGGAAAAGTGATAGAAGAAGTGAAAGTGACAGTGAAAGTTCAAGGTATCTGTTTTTAATTTCTTTGATCTTTTAAGCATTTTAGTTATATCCTTGAATGGAACCATACTTGAATGGCATTCAAGATGCAATACATTTAAAAGGAGAAGAAAACTGAATTAGCAGCTTTTTTTTTTTTTTTTTTCCCTTTTTCTCCCCAAAGCTCCAGTAGATAGTTGTACGTCATAGTTGCACATTCTTCTAGTTGCTGTATGTGGGATGCAGCCTCAGCATGGCCGGACAAGCAGTGTGTTGGTGCGAGCCCGGGATCTGAACCTGGGCCTCCAGTCGCGGAGCTTGCGCTCTTAACCGCTATGCCACAGGGCCGGCCCCAGCAGCTGTTTCTATAGGAATACTTTGGATATTTTTATTTGACTATAAACGTTTCAACCAGCAGTGTAAAATGTGTGTACTCAAAATATCTATTTAGTCTTGGGCTGCATTTATAAAGAGTAGTATCCAAAGTATGTATGGTAAGACCATTGTTATATTATTAGTTATTGCATGTGTTAATGTTTTGTTTAGTTTTGGTATCCAGATTTTATGGGACCAAGGTGTTAACATCTATTTCTCATCTTGGTAAACGTCAGCTTGTCTTGCCAGATGCTCAAGCCAGAAACCTGGATGTCATTCTCTCTTCATAGTGTATCCATCACCAGATCCAGAAAATTCTCCTTTCTCTTTGTTTCTGTTGATGCTATGTTGGTCCAGACCATGGTATTATACTCCCTGCAGACCATGGTATTATACTCCCTGCTTCCTTTTCTGTCTTCTTTTATTCCAATATGATTAGGAGCTGGAGTGAGTTTTAGAATGCACGCCTACTCTTGTTATTTTTTAATTTAGTTTTAATTGTGATAAAATATACATTTCATGAAATTTACCATTTTAACCATTTTTAACTGTACACTTCAGTAGTGTTAAGTACATTCAGAGTGTTGTGTAACCAGTCTCCAGAACTCTTTTCATCTTGCAAAAGTGAAACTGTATACCCGTTAAACAGCAGTTCTCCACTTCAGCCCTCCCACCCCTGGCAACCACCATTCTCCTTTCTATGTCTATATTCATTGTCTTTTAATTCAACTTTTCTTGAATTTTATTATACAAAGCAGATGCTCTTAAATTTTTTTGAACATCTTTTTTTATAATAAACAGCTTTTGGAAATGTGTGTGTTTGTGTGTGTTGTGTGTGTTTTATCGAGCCTGAGAGGTATGTGGTTGGCCATCAATGGCCAGCTACTTGCTGAAGCTAGTAGTGGGCCAGGGGCTGGTTTTCTATATCTGGTTTTCTGTTTGACTCTGCTTTTGCTCCAGAGTGGGCTAGGACTAGTCCCTCTCTTGGATCTTCTGTCATATCAGGGAGAGTCCCCGTCTTGGCAAGAAGCTCTGACCAGTTATAGCTTTCTGTTTGGTGTGGCTATGCTCTTCTTGGGCTTCTCAGTGTGTTCACTGATGGTTTGTCATTCCACTTAAAATTTCTAGTCTATTCCTGAGCCTCCTGCAGCTTAGAGGTGGTGGTCCTACTCTTATAGTTCTGCGTGATCTCTGATGTTTTCATAACTACAGTTCATTTTTTGAAAGAGGAATTATTAGTTGCCTCTAGATGTTGTCTTCCATGAGGTCTCATCTGTATTATACTTTAAAAACAGTTCCTCAGGCTTACATCCTTTCCTAATTTCCAGTGTCACTGGAGGTTTCTCTCTCTCTCTCTCGTGATCTTTAGTCATTTCAGTATTCATTGATAGTGAGGGCAGAATGTTCAAGTTGAATCTTCCTGTGATCTTCCCTTTCCTCTTCCTTGTCTCTCCTCCTCTCCTAAGGTTATATGATTAATTTGCTATTAGGGCTTAGATTCTGGTTCCATACAACTTAAAATGTTTTCCTTTTCTAGTGACTCTTCATCTAGGTATTCTGATTGGACAGCTGATGCAGGCATCAATTTGCAGCCTCCTTTACGAACATCGTCTCGTCGACGGATTACTCGATTTTGCAGTAGTTCAGAGGATGAAATGTCTACTGAGAATTTATCTCCTCCAAAAAGGAGACGAAAGAGAAAAAAAGAAAAGCCTAAAAAAGAGGTAAGAAAAGTATATCTTTAAAAATAACATCTACCTACACTTTTATAGAGGTGTTTCTTTCCATATTTAGAAATCAGAAATCTTTGGGAAATTGGAGCCTTTTTTTTCAATTGACAATGTTACGTCATCAGGAATCAAATGTAAAATGCAAACTTAGTTTTGGAAAAGCTACTTTATGATGAAAACTTCTCTAATCTGCTCTCAGTTGGACTTGGCACTTACATGTTTCTGAATCTGAAACTTAAAGAGAAAACTTTATTTTGTTCAGAATCCTACCATAAATCTTTGTTTTCTGTCAATTTCAGCACCAAAAATATGCTTCAAGGCAATTTAAGGCACTTTTCTTCTCGTTTTGTCGGTTATTGCCATGTTTCTCATTTTTGTTTGACTTGTTCTGTCTTCATACTTTTCCTCTGATCGTAATATCCCTGTTCCTTATTACATGTATACTGGGTGTGCTTATGTTGTGCAGGTAACTGTCGTTATTTAAAGATGCTCCGTCGTCGTATTAGTTATCTATTGGGGTGTAACAGATCACCCTAAACTTAGTTGCTTAAAACCAAAACAGTATTATTTCATGTTTTGATGGACTGGGGATTTGGGAGCTGATTAGCTAGGTGATTTTTGGCTCAAAAGGTTGTAGTCATCATGTTGGTGGGGGTTGAAGTTATCTGAAGGCTTGAGTGGGGCTGGATGATCTTCTTTGAAGCTTGTTCATGTGACAGTTGGCTGGTGGCCTCAGTTCCTCATCACATGGGCCTCTCCATAGGGCTGCTTGAGTGTCTTCATGACGTGGTAGCTGACTTTCCCCAGAGCAAGTGATCCAAAAGTGTAAGCAAGGGCTAAGCCCTGGTGCCTTTTGTAACCCAGGCTTAGAAGTCACACTTTGTCACACCTGCTTTATTCTATTTGTCGGAAGCAAGTCGAGCCTGCACTCAAGTGGAGGAGTCTTGGGCTCTCCCTTTTTAAAACGAGAGGAAGAGTATCAAAGAACTTATGGTCATATTTTAAAATCACCGGTCTTAAAACCTCAAATGAAGAGGAGACTCCCTGTGATCGTTTTCTCTGGTGAAATTCAGAGTGGAGTCTCAGCCAGGCAGGCTGTGTGTTGAAGAGCATTTAGGTTGGAAGTTAGCCCTCTTCCATAGGATGTACAGTGTTATGAAGAATCTGTTAGAAATTCGGGAGATGCTAGGAGAGTGCTAGGTAGATCTACAGTGCAAACAAGTGATATGTTCCTGTGTACGTTAAGGAACCAAATATGTATGCTGTTTAAAAACTAATCCTTAGGTGATATGCCACTAAATAGTCATTGTGAATGGTGAGGTTTCTTTTGTTTTTCAGTCAAATAGTACATGCTACCTCTTTCTATTCTACTAAACCTTTTTCTCTTCCTCTTGGCAGAATTTGAGGAGGGTGACTCCAGTGGAACTTGCAAATATGGAACATTTATATGAATTTCATCCTCCAGTTTGGATAACTGATACCACACTTCGAAGGTCTCCGTTTGTTCCTCAAATGGGTGATGAGGTGAGAGTAATAAAATTTAAAAGCATGAATATGGAACATAAAACAAAATTAATATTACTGTTATATTTTTATTTATTTTTAAATGTATACTTCCCTTCTGTAGGTAATATATTTTCGACAGGGTCATGAAGCTTATATTGAGGCTGTCAGAAGAAATAACATTTATGAACTGAACCCTAACAAGGAACCATGGAGAAAAATGGATCTTAGGGTAAGATGATGGTATTATTAAATCATTAAACATTTAGCACATATGTTGTTAAATTATTTATAAATCCATTAAAAAAACCTACTGGAGGCATATTTCATTACTATCTTTCCATGAACTTCCTACTTAAAAACATTTCTGCTATTAACTGCTAAGCCTTAAGATCCAGTACGAAGACTTCTGTTTGTCAATAGGAAGTCTTCGTGTATTGCTGATTAGGGTGTGCAAATTTAAGTGCATTAGAGTCTCTCAGCTTTGCAATGTATATCATTAATCTTAAAATGTGTATACCCAGGACAAATGTTCAAAAGTGCAAGTTTTCAAAAGAAGAAATACAAATTGGAAGAAAAGTTCAGCCTCTCATGCATAATAAAATATAGAAAACACCTAAGCTCTCCTGTATTTAACCAAGTTGGTCAATTTTTTTTTTTACGGTATATTTTTTTACATTTAGCAAGTAGCAAAAGTTTTGGTTTGTTAACAGTTATTCAGATTGGTGATAGGGTACATGAAACAGTCAATGCTTTCTAGAGGGTATCTTGGCAATTGGAATTGAAACTGAAAATATTTAGACCTTTTAATTCAGTGGTCTGTCTTCTGGTAATTTAGGAAACAACAAGAAATACATGCAAATCTGTGAGCGAGGCAGTGCTATGTCACTGTTTATAAAAGCAAAAAAATTGGAAAAAATCCAAAATATCCCACAATACTGAATAAATCAAATCGTGGTACATTCACACAGTTGATTACTACATAGAGCTCACTACATAATTGAGGCTTTTGAAATATTTGTTGAATGAATGATGGTTAAATTTTCACAGTGTATTACTAAGAGGAAAGTGGGATGTGAGAGGCTCTTTGTGCTTATGATAATCAAAATTTAAAGATATATGTAGTTAACCAAAATAAATACCTCAAAATGTCAATGTGATTATGTGTGTAATAGCATTAAAAGTGATTGTTTTATTCTTTATACTTATAAATGTTTTTGATACTTTCAATAACTGTTAGAAGATGGAAAAAACTATTTTAACAAAGATAGTTGTTCTGTTTTTTTTTTTTTTTTTTGGTGAGGAAGATTAGCCCTGAGTGAACATCCGTTGCCAATCCTCCTCTTTTTGCTGAGGAAAATTGGCACTGGGTTAACATCTGTGCCCATTTTCCTCTGCTTTATATGGGATGCTGCCGCGGCATGGCTTGACAAGCAGTGCGGTGATGTATGCCCGGGATCCAAACCTGGATCCAAAGTGAAGTGCGCGCACTTAACCACTGCGCCGCCGGGCTGGCCCTGATATTGTTCTTAACACTCATTCAGTTTAATGGCTCTACTTCTATGAATTTGGTTTTAGATATGTTCAGATTTATTTAAGTCTCTTTCACTTATTGCTGTGTACCTAAGTACAGTTGATCCTCATTATTCACCGATTCCATATTTGTGAATTTACCTACTCCCTGTATGTTATTCGTAACCCCCAAATCAATACTCAGGGGGCTTTTCTGGTTGTTTGCAGACATGCACAAAGTTGGAAAAAATTTGATTGACTTTGACTAGCATGTTCTTAGCTGAGGTTGAGCAAGGTTGATGCTTTCATTTTGAGCTCCCATATTGTAAATAAGTGTTCCTTTCATGGTCTGTTTAATGCCACATTAAAAATTTTTCACATTTTTGTGATTTTTCTTGGTGACTTACTATTTAAAATGGCTCCCAAGTGTAGTGCTAAACTGCTGTCTTACGTTCCTAAACACAAGAAAGCGGTGATGTACCTTTGGAGGAAATATGTGTGTTTAGATAAGTTTTGTTTGGGCACGAGTTGTAGTGCTGTTGGGTGTGAGTTCCATGTTAATAACGTATTAAATGAAGTGTCTTTAAATAGAAACACATGAGATTATATAAACACAAGATTATATATTGATGGAGTGACCGCATTGTTGTGACCAGAGGCCTGTAGGAACCTAACTCTATCTCCTCTAGGACCAATGGTTAAGTATTCACTAATTCAGTGTTCTGGGTGGCTCTGTAGAACATGACTGCTGTGAATAATGACAATCAACTGTACTTAGCACTTTGGTACATTGTAACAGTCACATATTTGTGCGATGAATAAAGGGTGAATGATCTCTTGTATTCTTGGTATTAGGGAAACAGATTTTAGGGGGAAGGCTAATTATGGCACATCCATTGATGGGTACTCCATCATGGTAGGGACTTGCTCCTGTTCATGTTCTGTCCCTACTGCCTGGCATAGGTCACGGCCCAGAGTAGATGCTCAACAAATATTTACTGAAATATATTAGATAGAAATTTAATATTCAAGGTTTTGAAGAATATTTAATAAGTTAAATGCTTACACACTTTGATTTGCATGATATAAAATTACATAAATGAAAATGTGTCTCTAGGAAGAGAAGAAAACCACAAGGAAATTCACACTATTCACAGTGGTTGTCTTTAGATACTGAGCTGATTGGTGATTTGTGTGTTCCTTCTTATACTTTTGTGGTGTATTTTCTAATGTGAGTATATATTCCTTACATTAGAAACAGTATTAAACGTCTATCTTCAAAAAGATGTGAAGATTAACTGTAGCAAAAACGATTGTAATTAATGGTAAATTAAACTTGTCTGCTGGTTTGGTATGATGACTTAACTTGGCAATATGTGAAGAATTATAGTCTTAAGGAATTGCTTTATTTTAACTATTTTAAACATTCTTTTAAAAATGTCTGTTAAAGGATCAAGAATTGGTCAAAATAGTTGGAATACGATATGAAGTTGGGCCCCCTACACTCTGTTGCCTCAAACTAGCATTTATAGATCCTGCAACTGGAAAACTTACGGACAGATCTTTCTCTATTAGGTATGTGTTATTTTTTTTTATGAAATTATTTAAATTTAGATTTTCCCTCTTGCTGATTAGCATGCCCTTTCCATTTAGCTGCAGGGTAAATAGTGGACATCCGAAGATGTGGGTTGAAGTTCTGATAGATGGGAGCCCATTAGAAGTAAAAATAGGGGTGCTACAGTAACAATTAGGCATTGACATGTTTTATCAACTTTTCCATGCCAATTAAATGTGTGGAGAATTCTGGTTTGTAGGGGAAATTGCTTCCACCTTTGTTTTTGAGAAAATTTAGAATAATTTGCTAAACCTGTGCTGTCCAATATGGTAGCCATTAGCCACAAGTGGCTATTGAGCACTTGAAATGTGGCTGATTTGAATTGAGTGTGACGTAAGTATACACACTAGATTTTGAAGACTTGGTATGAAGAAAAAGAATGTACAGTATCTCATTACTTTGTGTGATTACATGGTGCAACAATATGAAGGATATATTGGGTTAAATAAAATACACTTAAAATAAATTTCAGTGGTTTCTTTTTACTTTTATGTTTTGATTAGGAAGATTGGCCCTGAGCTAACATCTGTTGCCAATCTTCCTCTTTTTGGTTGAGGAAGCTTGTCCCTGAGCTAACATCTGTGCTAATCTTCCTCTATTTTGTATATGGACACCGCCACAGCATGGCTTGATGAGTGGTGTGTAGGTCTGTGCCCGGGATCCGAACCTGTGAACCCTGGGCCACCGAAGTGGAGTGTGCGAACTTAACCACTATGCCACTGGGCTTAGTCCTATTTTTACTTTTTTTTAATAAGGCTTGTTGAAAATTATAAATGAGCATATGTGGTTCCTGTTGTATTTCTTTTGGACAGTGTTGCTCGACTGTAATCTGTTGTGCAGGGAATCCCATGATCTTTTATTGTCGTTCAGGTATCACGATATGCCAGATGTTATTGACTTTCTTGTCTTACGTCAATTTTACGATGAAGCAAGACAGAGGAATTGGCAGTCCTGTAAGTCCCCAAGTCTGTTTTTATTGTTTTATATACCCTTAGAGATTAATCTCTCATTTCATGGGTCTAATTTTTTGGTTGTAGTGCTTATTTTGGTGGAGTGTAAATTCTGGAAAGAAAATAGAAGTGAATGATAAGTAAGCTTTGCCTAGGGCTTGGTACCTCCTACTGCTCCTTAGTAGACTTTTTAGCCATGCAACATTTCTTCTGTTCTTATGGTATGTGACATTTAGAAGGGATTATTTCTTACACATTGAATATAGGCTAGAGTAGACCTTTTATTTCCTTCAGACTTCCCCACACTGCATTATCTCTCATTATTGTTAATATGACACTGATATAACTCACAAAATTATTCTACGATGTAAAAACAATGAGAAAGTTGAAAAATAATGCAGATTTCACACTGGTAATGTTCTGGCATACCAGGATATTTTACCTTTGCTGTCATGTCAACCCAGACTTAAATAGGTTGACTTGAGGAAACCATTCTTTTAAAAAATAAACAATTTTTATAACACTTATGCTTTATAACCGTGAAGTGTGAGTGGACAGAAAAAATAAACTTACCTCAGTGTAGGCACTAACTTACTTGAATGTGGTTGTCATGGTGACCATGTAAGGTGGGCTTCTGGGTTCACTGGCTTAGACTTGTGTAGGTCATTAACCTCCTCAGGACATAATTGATGACTGTAATTAGGCCAGGTAGTATCAATTAGCAGCTGTAGCACCTGTTTCATGTATTACTCATGTATAATATATATGAAAAGTGTCATGTTACTTTTCAGTATGGAATGCTGTCTGGGGAGCTCATGTGTTGTTTGACTTTAGTCACTTAGGATAGCTTATTCTGTTTTTGTCAGTTTTGGTCTTTTAAACAAATATTGTTTTACCCAGGCTGTGCCATCTGGTGTACACATTCATAAATGGTGTTAAGACTTCATTAATTTTCTTAGTTTCTGCTGCCTTTTTCTACAGGTACTACAAATAGGTAAATTTTAGATAAATTCCCTGAGCCATCTTTATTTGAAACGAAAGATTGTCAGAAAGTGAGGCCACTCTTGGTAGACTATTTTTAACGTTAATGTCCTCACAAGTAATCAAGGTTATTTTGGGACTAGAGCTAAAGGAAAGGTTTCTTGAAGAAAAACATGTAGCCACAAAAAAATAAAAATGAGACAACTGGAATATGTGGGAGTTAACAGCTCATACAGCCAAGTCCCAAAGAACTTTAAAGTTTCCCATCTATTACATTTTTTCAACCCTCGTGACGTGTAAGTTAGAAGCTCTCATTTTGTTCTGCCAACACGTTCGTTCAGAATTATTTTTAAACTTAAATCGGTACAGCTAAATTCTAAAGATGATTCCCAATTGCCTCTTGTAATTTAGTGGTTTTTGTTATTTTTGTGGTTGAGAAATTATTTTACCAGATCTTCTATAGTAATTAATTCATTTTTGCTCCTCCATAAAATCTCACCTATTTTCCTGAAGTTTGAGCAGTGCTATTAGAGGAAGTTGCTTGTTTCTCTTTTTACTGTGTCGAGAACTTAACCTCAGCAGCTGTTTATCCCACTCGTGAATAACCAAAACAGGTTTATATGAAAATTCTTAATGGAATAGAAAAGCCAGTTTGTACCATGAGAAAACTAATTTTTTAGGGCTCCTTTTAATTTAAAGTGTTAGCTTTACACTGAAGAAATATTTTTATCTAAACCTGAAAGTCTCTTCTCGTATTAGATAAATAGGGAAGAAAAAATTATAAAGTTAATTTTTGGTATCAAAGACTGACTCTCTTATAACCGTATGTTTTTATATTAGGCTTCTGAAAATGAAGCTACTGGATTTGTTACTGTTAGAATAATATTAATTGTAATAAGTCTTGTAATTGATATTTATGGTAAATTAGGTTATTTACATTATAGAATTGGACTAAAACCATGGTATTATATAAAATTTTTAGTATATGCCTTTCATTAAAAAAATTAGAAAAAATTTATTAAGATTTCTAAAGTTGAAGTTTTGCTTTGGAATATCTATATTAATGAAATACTATCAAAAGTAGAATTTTATTAATGATAGAGAGGTGGGTAGAGGGATGAGGGGCTTAGGGGTTTGTAGTGATTTTGAATTAAAATAGACACAAGAGTCATGTTTACATGAGTTTGAAAATATAATAAGAACCTTAAAACATGGAGCTCCAATAGTTGTGGTGTTGCTATTTTTTTCAGTATTACAAAATTCACTGTAAGCATACTTTTTTTAGTCAAGACTATTTTTGTGAGTATTTTATTATATAAATGTTCTCTTTCTTGGGGGTGAAATGTAGCTGTAATTTTGATTGATGTTCTTTCTGTACAACTTTCCTTGAAGAAAGAATTGTAATCTACCAAAGAATTATTAAGGCTGGATAAGTGACTTTTTTTTTTTTTTTCCTTATTGATTTTGTTTTGAAAACAGTGGGCTGGATGGGAAGGAAGAGATAGGGTTCTTACAGCACTCTATGTTTCTTTTGTAATATATGTAAAACAAAGATCAAATGCAGTTTATTTCTCTAGAAGTGTTACTGTTATAGAATACATAGAAATGTGTATAATCTAAAATCACTGAAGTCAGTTGAAATATTTATTCCACAGTTATTTTGGTTTGTATAGGGGCCCTCCTAAGATCTGATTGCTTGCTTTTATATTATGCTGAGATAATAGAATATGTAGATGTTTAATTCTTTTAAATAATAAATATGTAAGCATTTTCGAGGGTACATTTAGACCTGATTTTTGTTATGAGATCTTAAGAATTAGAACACTATTTTATGTGGAGATATTTATATAGGAACAACTCTAGAATAATCATGGATTAAATTCTGATCATAATTACTTTTATAATTTATTCTTCAGGAAATGTTATATTTCATAAGTATGCATTTAATTATTAAACAAGTGTTTATTGGTAGTATATATTATTGTAAGAGATTTTTGTGTTTTGTTAAACTTTGTTCTTATTTCATGTTGTAAAATGTAGTAGAACTTATTTTGTAGTGGGTGTTTGGATTCACTAAGCAACTGAACCTAGTCATAAACCATTTTAGTCTGTTATGTGATATGGCTATATACCTTCAGGAAGTTGCTGAGTATAACATCTTTTTTACATGTATTTTATCACTGAAGATTGTTGGGAAGTGGGGAATGATGGCTACTTTTGAGATAAATATATACTTTGATTTCTGTTTTTATCTATCATATGGTATTTTGTAAGTTATATTTTATAAAAATATAACATTAAAAATGTTAATGTTAGCAAATTGGTGTCTCAGACTTGGTCATCTCTATTACAGGTGACAGGTTCCGTTCTATCATTGACGACGCTTGGTGGTTTGGAACAGTGTTAAGTCAAGAGCCGTATCAGCGACAGTACCCTGATAGTCATTTCCAGTGTTACATTGTTAGGTCTGTATGCAGATGAAAATGAATCATCTACAAATCTTTGTTCATCGTGACATGTTGAATGAATAACTAATATGTTTCAGATTAAAAACCCACAATTTAATCTGTCATTAGTCATGTGAGTCTCACCTCTGCAGTGTCTCTCTAGCATGCCCCTGTCGTTTCTCGTTCACTGGTGCCCCCCTTGATGCAGTTCTGCTCGCTTGCCTGGGACCATCTCTGTAGCCTCCTAATGTTTCCTCAACCTAATATTGCAAATTATTGTTCAGGAGCACATAGTACATAATTTTCCTTGTTCAAAAATATCTTTGCTGCCTTTCCATTGGCTGTGGAAAGAAGTCCAGGTTCTGAAGCATGGCATTCATGCCTTCACACTGTCTTGGAGTTTTTCTTCACTTACCCTGGTTATAGGCCACACAGGATTTCTGGTTTCGACCTTGAACCCGCCATACATTTTTTACACTTCTTTCTTATAGTGTATCCTTCTAAAAATATTTTACTGTTAATATTTAAACTTCATTGCTACAGTGAGGTTAATTTTCACATTTTCTCTCTGTTTACTCTTATAGTGAATGCCTAGTTATTAGCCACAACTTGTCTTTATGAAAGGCTAGCCAGACTTTTTTTTGGTTTTAACAGGTGGGACAATACTGAAATTGAAAAACTTAGCCCATGGGACATGGAACCAATTCCTGATAATGGTATGTAATTGTTAAGTAATGAAAATATTTTACTTTTATGTTTTCAATTTTTTCTCTTACTAATGCACATAGAGCCCATTAGTGTTCTTTGAGAAATGTTTTCAAATTATTATGGTAACAGTGAGCTTTACTAAAAGAACTCAATAGAATTATGTGTATCTGGGTCATTAATTCTTATCCTAAGTTTCCAGCTTGATGCTGGCTGTATCTTCTGTCTGTCATTTCTCATGTAACCCTAACATTTCTCATGTAGCCCTGCTTTAAACTCTTCCTGACTTCCTTCACATGGCCACCATTTCCTTCTCCTCATCCGTACTCTATTATCCTTGTTCTTCCTTTAAAGAAAAATTCTAACTTGACTTCCATTTCTCTTCTGCTTTAGCTCAACTGGTCTCTCTTACTCTGGATTGTCTGTTTCTTTCCTATGAGAGAGAGATATGTCTCTGTTCCAGAGTCAGCCTTTTCCTCCAGTGTTTGCCATCCCACTGCTTTTAACTTCTGTTGGCCCTGGTACTTAGACCTAGTTCATTCTCTCTAACAATTTTAGTTTTCTCCTTTCTTTCTCTATTCAAGTTTGAATTTGTCTCTCCTACCTTAAAACATCTTTCATTTGACTTTATTGAACATTTTAGCTGTTGACTTATTTCCCTCTTGCTACACTTTTTGAAGGAGAGCTCTGTATCTCTTGCCTCCATTTCTTTGCTATCAAGCTGTCTTCCATATTAGTGTTTATTCAGCATAAAGACATGCAAAAACTTTTGTCCTTCCACCCTCACCATTTTTTGGCACATGAAATCTTTGCTGCATGAGGTTTCCCTGTGTGTGCCTTAGGGGTCAAGTCCTTTGCTCTTGTGTTTTACCCTCTGACATGTCTCCATCAACCATTGTCTTGCTTTACTTTGGAAATAAGAATTTTTATGGAAGTAAAGATTTTTTTTCAAAAAATTTTTTTCTATTAACTGTACTCTTGAAAGTCATCAGTGACTCCCTTTGTTAGATTTTCTTTTGAGCTTAGTATCTTACAAATAATATTTACCAATATGAAATGATATTTTGCACTGTATAAAGCATATAATAGATAAGTAAAAACCAACATTTTTTGAGATCTTACTCTGTAAGAACTTCATATGTATCAATTCATTTAATCCTACTCTCAGGTTGATGCTCTATGATTAATTTTATAGATGAAGGAACTAAGACTCAGAGGGTTTTCAGTAACTTGTCTAAAGTCACACATCTAGAAAGGATAGGAGTTTGGATTCTAACCCAAGCCATCTGGCTCCAACCAGCAGTTAATTTTAACGGCCGTTTACAGCTGCTTTTTCATAAAGGATATTACAAATCAGTGAAAGCACTTAGATAAAGAGATTTTACATGTTAACAAGGCCACGAAGCCTCTAGAAGAATTGTCAAAAGACATGAGCAGGCAGAAAAATAAATTTGGAGGCATGTGAAGAGAGGCTCAGTTGCATTAACAGTCTCAGAAATGTATGTTAAAGTAACAGTAAAATATCGTTTTATCTATTAGATTGTTAGATCGTTGTTTATCTTTTAGTTCTGTTGAAATTTTCTCCTTTTACTTATAATTTTCAAGAAAATGTTCTCTGCATATTTACATTGCCTTTTGTTCTTTTTTAAAATGTGCACTCGTCTGTGGCCATAGCATTCTGAATGTACCTGATCTCGTCTAAAATGTGCACTCTCTTTCATTATCAATTTTTATCATACTTTTTTTTTTTTTGGTGAGGAAGATTAGCCCTGAGCTAACATCTGTTGCCAGTCCTCCTCTTTTTTGCTGAGGCAGATAGGCCCTGGGCTAACATCTCTCCCCATCTTCCTCTACTTTATATGTGGGACGCCTGCCACAGCATGGCTTGATAAGCAGTGGGTAGGTCCACGCCCAGGATCTGAATCCGTGACCCCGGGCCACTGAAGTGGAGCATGCAAACTTAGCCACCATGCCACCGGGCTGGCCCCTGTCTTACTTTTTTAATATTTCATTTTGAGATAATTTCAGACTTAGAGTGTTAACAAAAATAGTGCAAAGAATTTCTGAATACTGAGTTTTCTCAAATGTTAACATCTTACATAACTACAGTTATCAAAATCAGGAAATTATCATTGATACAATTCTAATCTATAGACGTTACTCAAATTTTGACTATTGTACAAATGTCCTTCACACATTGCCTTTCATTACCATGTCTTCTCAGTCTCCTTTAATCTGGGATCCCTGAGTCTTTCCATTATCTTTCATGACCATGACACATTTAAAGAGTACTGACCAGTCATTTTGTAGAATTTCCCTCAGTTCGAGTTTGTCTGCTGTTTCCTCATGATTAAATCCAGGGTTTGCATTTCTGGCAAGAGTGTCAGAGAGGTGGTGATGTGTGCTTCTCAGTGCATCATATCGGGAGGCATGTGATAACAATTTGTCGTGTTACTGGGGGTGTTAACTTGAATTATTTGACTTAGGTAGTGTCTGCCAGGTTTCTCTGCGAAAAGTAATTACTTTTTCCTTTGTAATTAGTGTCTTATTTATGAGCTTTGACAATTGACTTTAAATATAGTGTACATTTGTTTTTTGGTTTGATTTTTTTTTTTTCTTTTTTTTGATGGAATTCATAGTTGATCCACCTGAAGAATTAGGAGCTAGTATTTCTGTCACTTCAGATGAGCTAGAGAAATTGCTCTACAAACCAGAAGATGGTGAATGGGGTCAGAAATCGAGAGATGAGGAATGTGAACGAATTATTAGTGGTATAGATCAACTTTTGAATCTTGGTAAGTTTTTTTAGGGTGAAAAGTTTCATGCTCAACTTTTCTTTTCCACAAAAGTATTTTAAAATAGTAGCATAATTGTGGTTGTGTTCTTTACTACAATTTCTATTTGTTACCTTTTGGTTAAGCCTGCAGTATTCAATGTAGCTCTATTTTATGAATGATTTGTAGAGAACTATCACTTAGAGGTAATGAATTTATTGATAAAAATTCTTCTGTCTGCCCTCACAGATATAGCAGCAGCTTTTGCAGGTCCAGTTGACCTATGTACGTATCCGAAGTACTGTACTGTGGTAGCTTATCCAACTGACCTTTACACAATTCGAATGAGACTTGTTAATCGATTTTACAGGTTGGTAGAAACCTACTTCAAAAATAGTTTGAAAAGATATTTGGCCATACCAGCTAGAGTGAATAGAGGTAGTGTTGGTTGATGGTGACGTTGGTGGAGTGGGGGCTGATTAACATTATTTTCTATTTCATTCTCTTCTTTCATAATAGTAATTTCTTGGTCCTGTGTGTAAGACATTGTGTTAGATGTCTGTAGGTAGGTAGGGAAAGAACCTGGATAATAAAAAATATCATGTGTCATGTTTCATTCCTCAATCTTTAGGAGACTGCTTGTCTTACAAATTTTGATAAGTAGTTAGAAATTATATTTGTTTTTTAATGTAAACATTCCTATTTAGCTGCTCCATTTAGAAATAAAATTTAGATAATAATTGGATTATGGCCTTTGAAAGATTAATTCCCTAGGGTTATCAACTTTTTATCTCTGGCTTCTAGAACACGGATAACTATAAAATTTCCTATTCCAAATGATTTTTTTTTTGCAATTGATAATATTTTATTTTCTGTGCTTTAACAACTACGAGAAATTACCATTACAAAAAACTGACTTCTTGAGTCCACCTTGTTGGTGTAATTTATCTCTGTAGTCAAACATGGGATTGTGCGTTTGATCAGAAACCACTTTGCCAGTTTACAGTGACATTGACTCTCTTAGGATTGATGGTATTTAACACATTTTCTTCGTTGAGTCTCAACAGCTTTGAACATTTCTGTAGGCAGCGTGAAAAGGGAAGGTTGCTCTGTTGGTTTTCTGGATGTGATTACGTGATCTGTTAAGATTTTTGGTCCTTAAGCATGTTCTCTGCAGTTCAGCATCCAGTATAATTGCTTATGACTATGATCAAGTTGACAGCAGTAGAAGGTTATTCATTGTAACTTTCCACTTATGGTTTAATTAGTATGTCATGCTGGTTTAACGTGCTGGATTTTTTAACTTGGTCTCCTTTCTGTCTTTTCATTTTTTAAGCCCTAAATTGCCTACTTTTTGTTTTGAAGGAGGCTATCTGCATTAGTTTGGGAAGTCAGATACATAGAACATAATGCCAGAACGTTTAATGAACCTGAGAGTGTAATTGCAAGATCAGCTAAGAAGATAACTGACCAACTTTTAAAATTTATCAAGTAAGTCATCTCATGTTATAGATGTTGTGGGAAAGTGACTTTGCATATTATGCTCTTGGCAACCATCCGGTTCTTAATTTTTGCTGTCTGGATTACGCCCTTTTAATGTGTTACTTTCAATGACATTTCTTTACGTACTTATTGTGATTATAATTTCAGTAAACGAATGAGAAATTGAACAATCCAATTTTTCCTACTTTTAAAATTTTGAAATAATTTATACTACAGAGAGTTGCCTTGTATATACCCTTCACCTGGTTTCCCCTTAGGTAAACATTTTACCTAACTGTGGTGTCCTTATGAAATGTTAAGAAATTATCCTTGGTACAATACTATTGACTAAAGTGTAGAACTTATTTGCATTTCATCAGTTTTTACATTAGTGTCCTTTTTCTGTTTCAGGATGCAATCCAGAATCCCCGTTGCATTCACTGTTTTATTTTCTTGGTCTTTTTAACTTGGTTCCCAGTCTTTCTTTCATGACCTCATTATTTTTAATGAGGGTTAGACACTTATTTTCTAGAGTGTGCTTAATTTGGGTTTGTCTGATGTTTTCTCATGATTAGATTGAGTTTTAATCTATTTTGGGTTGTATCCTGTGTGAGTGAGTGCATATATATGAATATTCCACATGCTTTCTTGCATTGGGAAATCAATTTGGAATAGTAGGATGAAAACTGACCTGGAAATTGAGATCCAAGTTCTAACCTAGTCTGTTCTAGTGAACATTCTTTGTGACTTTGGACAAATTACTCAGCCTGTTTACTTTAAAATTAATGAATTTTGCTATATGATCTTAAATGCCTTTTCCCATAGCTATAAAAATTCTTGAAAGAATCCTATTAGAGAAAGTAATTTATAAGCTGTGCCGTTATTTTCAACATCTAGCTATACACTAGGGAATTACTGATTCTAGTCTATTTCACTTTCCTGGGTTGAATCTGTCCCATGTCTGGAGAACTTACTACTGTTTCCCCAGAACTTTCCTCTTTTCTTCTTCAGGAAGATCACATACTCATTCTCATCTCCTTCATGCCTAGATATATCCATACTTGAGCATTCTTTCTTCTTCTGTGTACAGTGAAGTTAGATATAATTTGCTTTAATTCTACTTCCTTTTTTCCTTCTATTCTCTTTTATCTCAAATCAGCCATTTTCCTGGTACTCACTGCATAAATATTACTAGTGATGATACTTAGAAAAACTCATTTGTGTATTCATCCAATTGAGGCCATACATATGTTATTTCTGGATTACTAGCTTAATTTCTGTACCTACTTAACTGAAAAAAAAGCTGAAAAAAAACTAACTTTCAATATTATAAAATGGTCAGTTCTTTCCACAGAGGGTAGAGTAGTAAAAACCTGATATTCCTCTGCTTGAAATTAGGTATGCATGGTTGGGGACTGTTTATATCTTAACCTGTAGTTTAAATCTTTGTCAACAGTAACTATATCTGCATACTGTTACAAAAGTGAAAAATTGTTTTTTAGGAATCAAGACTGTACAAATATCTCAGAACTTTCTAACACTTCTGAAAATGATGAGCAAAATGCCGAGGATTTGGTATGAAGTTTGTCAATTGTATAATGATTTTTCTTAATTTCAAATGGTAACTTAAAAATAATGGATGATGTAGAAAATGTTGGTTATCTTATCAGTTCTTGCTATATTCCAATGAATTATGAAAATAAGGCTTTTGATAAAAATAGTTTTTTTTAATCTAGATGGTCAATGAAGTAATTTGTTTTAGCCAATAATTGATATCAAATAAACAAAATATGTATAAGTGAATGACTTAGGTGCAAGATATGTTCTCTTTCCACATTTTAGCTAGAGAAAGGTGTGTTATAGGTACTTTGGAAATATTTTTGGTAAAACCAATATCTGAGAGTTGGATTTAATTGTAATTAAAAATTAATGAACTTTACCATATTCAGAGTACCCTAAAGTCTTTCACTCTGGATGGTATTGAAGTGTAAGTAAAGGCAAATATCAGTTATGTGTAATTTCACTTCATACAGAATCAGGCTGCTGTTTGGAGTTGTAGGAAGGATATTCTTAAAAACAGTATAGTGTCAATTTCTATACAAACTCTTATTGTAGTGCACTGATTTTCATGCTAATTTATATTGGAATAAAAATGGATATACTAATAAGTGATTTAGAGATGATAAAATGTGTAGAGTACAAAATCCAGGACTGTAGGAGATTTTGTTTCTGGGATTTTCTGGATAGAGGTAAAACAGAAATTTAAAGTGTGTAGGACATGCACAAAGCAACTTTTTATAGCTTTGTTTTGGAATTAGTGCATGTTCTTAGAGAATGTAAAGGTTTGTTAAGAATGGTTGGTTTTGTTGGAGTCTGAGTGCCACAGAGATCATCTGATAGAGTCTTTTGAGATTTTTTGTTAACAAATTGTAACCTAATAAGACCTGATGTCTTTGGTATGCTTTTTATTAGGATTATTACATTTCTAATGAGAAGATTAATACTTAAGGTGCTCTGATTTTATTCCTAGGATGATAGTGATCTTCCTAAAACATCTTCTGGAAGAAGGAGAGTAAGTTAATCTGCCTCATTGACCTTTGTTGTTTACTTCTTCTTTGTTTTAAAATCAACCTAAGATTTTAGGTGTTGTCTTTGAAAAGCTACATTGATATAGATATTGAATATTTTATAAGAGAAAGGGGAGAAATCACTGAAAGGTGGATAGTTAGGTAAGGTTTAGTGGAAGAGTTTTGATTTGAACTGTGTTCTCAGAATGAGATGGAGTAAGAAGAGGACATTCAAAAAGTAGGGGATCTTATGATCCAAGCCAAAAATGTAGGAAAGTGTGGCATGTCAACGGGCTGGTGCGGGTACTGGCCTGACTGATGTAGAGGTTGAATGTTGGAGTGAGCACAGTGGCTGTGTGTGGCTGTTATGTTGGGAGCAGATTATGGTGGTATTGAAAATGAAGGATTTCATTTAAATTTAAAGTACAGAGTCAGTTTCACAGCCAAAATAGATAAATAGATTTTGAGCCATAAGAGGATAGGTATTAAAGGAAGTGAGTTAGGAGTTCACTGCACGAATCTGGGAGTAAAGGATGGGAACCTAGTCAACGACAGTATTTGCTTGGAACGGAGAAGAAGGGAAGAAGATGAGACCTTTTAAAGGGAAAATTGAGTAGGATTTGGTAACTGAACCTTTTTTCAAAATGAGGATTGGGGTTAAGGAGAAGGATGTATGGAAATAAGTTTTGCGTATTGGGTAGTTAGAATTGTGGTGTCACCAGCAGCTCTTAAAGTTCTAGTGTAATATGTTAATTAAAAGTAAAGGTAATTTATCTGAAAATGCTTAAAAATGTTAACATTTTAAATTTTATCCAAATGCTCCTTAAACTTAAGCTTTTTATCACATTAATTTTCATAACGTGCTTGCCCCAAATGACATTGAAAAGTTAGATTTGAATTATTACCATCTGATTGTCATTGTCATGTAATTTCATTTCTAAACAGACTCCCAAATGTTTAGTATCTGTTTAGTATTTGTTTGCTATGGCTGCTATAGCAAATTACAAATCTAGTGGCTTAACCAATAAAAGTATTATCTTACAGTTCTGTAGATTAGGAGTTTGACATGGGTCTCACTGGGCTAAAATCACATTGTTAGCGTGGTTGTGTTCCTTTTGGAAACTCCAGGGTAGAATCTATTTCCTTGCATTTTCCAGCTTCTAGAAGCTCATGGCCCCCTTTTTCCATCTTCAAGTCAGCAGTGTATCATCTTCCAGTCTCTGACACTAACCCTTCTGCCTCCCTCTTATAAGGACCCCTGTGATTACATTAGGCCCACCCTGATAATCCAGGACAGTCTCCCCATCTCAAGATCGTACCTTTAGTCGTACCTACATAGTCTGTTTTGCTATGTAAAGTGATATAGTCACAGGTTCTTGGGATTAAGATGTAGACATCTTTGGGGCCATTATTCTCCCTACCGTGTTATCCAATGTGTCACTTCACATTCTGTGAAAACATTTTCTAAACTTGGGAGATAAGTGGTGGAATGAAAAATATTTTTTGAGTAACAGATGTGACATTATTTTTTACAGAACAGAGGATTTTTTCCAAGTGAAAAGAAAATCAAAGTAGCCACCTTCTTATGACATAATACAGAAGACAACAGCTCAGTTGCATTTTTACTGTCATACTATAATACCATAGTGTGACTTTTCCGAGACTGAAAAATCTTTTAATGTTGTGAATGTATTTTTAAGGTCCATGAATGGAAAAAAAGGAGCATCAGAGCAGCCAACTATGTTGAAAGCAACTGGAAGAAACAGTGTAAGGAACTAGTGAACTTAATTTTTCAATGTGAAGATTCTGAACCATTTAGACAACCTGTTGATTTGGTTGACTATCCAGTAAGTTACCATTATTTGAATGTTTGGGGCTTTTCTTGTTTTGTACAGAGGAGATCAGGATAGAATTATTTAAATTAAACTTTAAAGAATAAGATGTCTAGGCTTTGTGTTAACTTCTCTTACCACTGAGTCAGCTGTAGAAGAGTTAGTTTACACAGTTTTCTTGAATTTATAGAGACACTTGGGTTAAGACTTAGTTAACCAGTGTTACATAATAATGAGAAGATTCTACGTGGTTATTTATTATCTAAGTAGGCCCAGCGCCAGGAAAACTATCAATTGGGTAAAAGTGTCTGTCTTCACTCCTCCAATAGGGGAATGGAAAGTCACCTTAAAAAAAAAGTCAGATTATAAAGTGCAGATTTACTGTAGGAAGCTTGGAAATTACAGAAGAGCGTAAAGAAGGAAATAAAAACCATTCTATATCTTGCTACTAAGTATAACATTTTGGTGTATTTCTTGTCTGTATGTCTGGGCCTCTTTTTAAAAATTATTAATGATTCTTAAGATCCTTCTAACGTTTTTCTCTTCTATCATTTTGAGTATTTTAGAGATCTGATGCACTTACATTTCTAAAAGCAGGAATCAAATCTTTGAACTAATTATTGTTTTTAAAACCTAGGACTACCGAGATATTATAGATACTCCAATGGATTTTGGAACAGTAAGAGAAACTTTAGAAGCGGGAAATTATGACAGCCCTTTGGAATTTTGCAAAGACATCCGGTTGATATTTAGCAATGCAAAAGCATATACACCAAACAAAAGATCAAAGGTAATTTTTAAAGTGGTTTATTTAAAAAAAAAAAAAGTATGCCTGATCTGTGTAGATGCTAATTTCTACTTGCTGGTAGAGGTTAGAACATTAAAGATAACTGAATAGAGTAAGACTACTATTAAGAACAGCGCTTTTGCCACTGCCCAAATATGTGTTGTTGTTAACTTACAACAAGTAATGTTTTTCTTTCCTAAGGTTTTATAAACAAATGAGGATTGGTGGGAGTGAGGGCACAGTGTAATGAACAAATTTGAGTTCGATATATAGAATGAGAAAAATCTATGTTTTCATATATTGGAAATCTTGAAAAGTGGTGGGAAACTTATTGATAAAGTCTAGAAGAATATTAAAATGAAGAAAAGGGAAATCTGAAGTGAGGGTGGGACTACTGATGACATGCTAATATTCTGGATCTGAAGAAGAAATGCGTGAGCTATCTGATTAAGAACACAAGTAGTACATTCCTAAATTTTTGTTAAAATGTTATATGTTGGATAACTTTTCAAAACTCGTTGAAGCATAATAAGTATGCAAAAGTGCACGTATACTCTCAGTGAATTTTCACAAACATCACAAACCCTTGTAGCCAATGTGCTGGGTAATTAAAAAAAACAGCAATATTTTGAGAAGTAAGATTTTAAAGTAAAGCACTTGCATGAGATAGCACTTTCTCCATCATCACTGACTGGCACTGCTAATTATTCATTTTGCCTTGATTTCACTTTCCCCTCATTTCTTATTATCAGACTGCTTCTGCATTATTAATTCTTATCTCAATTGGAGAACTCTTTCATTGCACTCAATATCCATATTGCTTACTGGATCAATTTAAGGTTAAAGTCTAACATTTTTCCAAGTTTCTGTTATTATCAGTATTCACCTTTGTGAGACTGTTTATTTCCAGAGAGAAAATAATTTCAAGTTTTTTTTCCCCCTTTTGTTTAAAATACCTGTTTGAGGATACATCATACAACTCACCCATTTAAAGTGTATAATTTAATGGTTTTTGGTATATTACGTTATTCAGATTTTCAAAATTGTAGTTAGATAAATTTAACAAAATTTATCATTTTAACCATTTTTAAAGTGTAAAATTCAGTGGCATTACTTTCACAAAGTTGTTCAACCATCACTGCTTTCTGTTTCCAAAACTCATCAGCCCAAACAGAAACTTTGTAACCATTAAGCAATAACTCTACATTCTGCTTTTCCCTCAGCCCTTGGTAACCTCTAATTTACTTTCTATCTCTATGAATTTGCCTGTTCCAGATATTTCATATAAATTCAATCATACAATATTTGTCCTTTTGTGTCCAGCTTGTTTCACTTGGCATAATGTCTTAAAGGTTCATCCATGTTGTAGCATGTGTCAGAACTTAATTCCTTTTTATGGCTGAATAATATTCCCTTGTATGGGTATATGACATTTTGTTTATCCATCAATCTGTTGATTGACACTGGAGTTATTCTCCTTTTTGGCTATTGTGATTAATGCCGCAGTGAATATTGGAATACAAGTATCTGTAAGAGTTCTTGCCCTCAGTTTCCTTGGGTGTATACCTAAGAGTGGAATTGCTGGTTCACAGGGTAATTCTGTTTTTAGTTTTTTCAGGAACCGCCAAACTGTATTCCATAACAGCTGCTCCATTTTACATTCCCACTGGCAATGTACGAGGATTCCAGTTTCTCCACATCCTTCCCAACACTTGTTATTTCTTGTTTTTTTTTTTAATTGTAGCTATCCTAGTGAGTGTGAAGTATTATCTCATTGTGGTTTTGATTTGCATTTCTCTTATGACTTATTAAAAATCGTACGTGGGTTTTGTTTTAATCAGGTATGGTAAGACAAGATATGGAAATAGTTGTCATGAAGGAAGAAGTTTACATTCACAGATCCTTAGAAACAGGAAGCATGACACACCATGCAAGGCCACATGGGGATGGACCCGGGTTGGTCATTAGGCAGAGGGGAGGAAAGGAAAGAGCATGGCGCTGAGCCTTTAGTGATGTTTTTGCAGGAAGACAAGGCAGGGCAGAGTAAACAGTTTAAGGTTGGCTAGTTTGAATAATTCTGGGAGCTTTGGCCTATAGGGATGTTCCCTAGATGTCTGGCTCCTGGTCCTGGGATGATTTAGGGTAGAGGGAATATTGGCTTGGTGTGTGAGAGTTTAATAAAGAAGATAGTTAGGGGTGTGAGCTTTGGATTGATTGTTTTGTGTATCAGAAGTGCACTTGCAAGAGAGTCATTTGCTGTCTCTAGGAATTAGCTAGTGCTGGGAGGGGCTGTCTGTTCAGGATCAAGGCTCCAAGTGCCAGAACATCAAGAATACAGAAAATAAGAAAATACAGTCAGTACACTAATGATGTTGAGTATCTTTCCATGTGTTTGTTGGCTGCTTGTATGTCTTTGGAAAAATATCTATTCAAGTGCTTTGCCCATTTTTTAATTGGATGTTTTTGTCTTTTTGTTGTTGAGTTGTAAGGATTTTTTAGTATATCCTGGATATTAAACCCTTATCAGATAAAGTTTTTCGAAATATTTTCTCTTATTCTGTAGGTTGTCTTTTCACTTGTTGATAATGTCCTTTGATACATAAAAGTTTTTAATTTTGATGAAGTCCAATTAATCTATTTTTTCTTTGGTTTCTTGTGCTTTTGGTTTCATGTCCAAGAATCCATTGCCAAATCCAGTGTCATGAAGTAGTCCCCTATGTGTTTTTAGGAGTTTTATGGTTTAGTTTTTATATTTAAGTTGTTGATCTATTTTGAGTTAATATTTGTACATGGTGTAAAGTAGGGGTCCAGTTCATTCTTTTGCCTGTGGAAATCCTGTTATCCCAGCACTATCTGTTGAAGAGACTATTCTTTCCCCATTCTTTTTTTCCCGTAAAGTAGGGGTCCAGTTCATTCTTTTGCCTGTGGAAATCCTGTTATCCCAGCACTATCTGTTGAAGAGACTATTCTTTCCCCATTCTTTTTTTCCCTTTGTTTTTTTATTTTTCCTGAGAAGATTTGCCCTGAGCTAACACCTCTGCCAGTCTTCCTCTATTTGTGCTGCCACAGCGTGGCTGCCGCCGAGTGGTGTAGGTCCGTGCCTGGGAACCGAACCCTGGCCGCTGAAGCAGAGCGTGCCAAACTTAAACCACTAGGCCATGGGGCTGCCCCCATTCTTTCCCCATTAAATGGACTTGGCATCTTTTTTGAAAATCAGTTGGCTATAGGTATATGGGTTTATTTCTGAACTCAGTTCTATTCCTTTAGTCTTTATTTGTGTGTCTGTCTGTCTGTCTCTGTCCCACAATGTTTTGTTTACTGCAGCTTTGTAGTCAGTTTTGAAATCAGTAAGTGTGAGTCCTCTCACTTTGATCTTTTTCAAGATTGTTTTGGCTACTCAGGCTCCCTTGCAATTTACTATCCATTTGAAGATTGGCTTTTTCCATTTCTATAAAAAAAAGTTGGTTGAATTTTTGATTGGAATTGCATTGAATGTGTAGATTGCTTTGGGTGGTGTTGACATCTTGATAGTATTAAGTCTTCCTATCCCTTAACAAGAGATGTCTTTCCATTTATTTAGGTCTAATTTCTTTCAGCACTATTTTATAATTTTCAGTGACAAGTTTTGTACTTTCTTGGTTAAATTTGTTCCCAGGTATTTTATTGTTTTAGATGCTATTTGAAATGCAGTTGCTTTCTTAATCTCCTTTTCTGATTGTTCATTGTTGGTGTATAGAAACACAAGATTCTTGTGTGTAGATCTTATACCCTGTAATTTTGCTGAATTCATTTATTAGCACTAATAGCTTTCTTGTGGAATCTTTGTTTCTATATATAGGATCATATCATCTGTGAATAGAGATACTAGTTTTACTTCTTCCTTTCCAATTTTGAATGATTTTTATTTCTTGTCTAATTGCTCTGGCTAGAATTTAAAGTACAGTGTTGAATAGCGCTGGTGAAAGTGGGCATCCTTATCTCATGCTTCATCTCAGGGGGAAAGATTTTCAGTCTTTCACCATTGTGTATGATGTTATCTGTGGGTTTTTCATACATGCTCTTTTTCATGTTGAAGAGCTGATAATTTTAGCACCCACTTTTGTTAAATAATGTTTATTTTCAATTAAATTGTATTATTAATTTTACATAAAAGCTAGTGAGAAAACATGAAAATGTGATACTACAGATAATCAGAGGTTTCAAACTTAATATGATTGAGAAAAAATCACTCATTAAAATTAGTGACTTACACTAGAATTCAATTTGAAGGAAAAGAATAAATTTCGTATACAGTCACGTGTCACCTAACGACAGGGATACTTTGTGAGAAATGTGTCCTTAGGCAGTTGCATCCTTTGAACATCAAAGAATGTACTTACAAACCTAGATAATATAGCCTGCTACATACCTGGACTATATGGTACTAATCTCATGGGACCACAGTTGTATATGCAGTTTGTCGTTGACCAAAATGTCATTATGCGGTGTGACTGTATACTCAAAATACTGGAAATAATTGTCTAAGATCATTTCAAAGATGAAGTGGGATCATAAGTTTCACATAGATTCATTTTATATATGTATGTATATATATGAAGCATATAGGAAATTCATGTATCTCACATACTTTTGTTTTCTAGTGTTAAGAGTCTCCACTCTCCTCTGCCATGCATTAGAGTGATTGATATTTAGCTTTTGAACATTTGACTTTTGCACTTCTTTTCAGGGATGATTGTGGATGAGTAATGAGTACTTCCTGTAAATACATAGTTATACCAAAAGTTATTTATAGTAGCACCTAATATCACATTGCTGTTCTTTTAAAGATTTGATGTTATTTAATTATAAAAATTGTTAAAACATAATCTTTCATATATATTAAAGTTCTAGGGCATATTTTTTCTTCTACTGCATGCAAGGTATCCTTTTGTCTGTAATTCATATTTAAATGTAAGTAGCACCAAAGGCAGTCAAATTGCAAGTAGAGACTGGTGTAAAAGTGCTTTTGTTCTCTTGCCCAAAGGAGACACTGCTCTTTTGCTGCCTAAATAGCAATCTTAAAACCAACCAACTTCGCATCTAACTTTAGGAGAAGGGGACATTTTTTGGGTTTGTACATGTAGATGTGAAAATGGAAAAAGCCAGTTGAGAACCATTTACATAGACATAAGCCCTAGATTCTAGAGAGTTGCTTGATTTAAAACTTTCTTTTCGTCTGAGAGGTATATATTTGATACTTCCTGTTTCTTGCAGATGTCATTGAAGGGAAGGGGTGAGAAACAGATAAAATAAGTAACAGCCATTATCTTCAATGGGGATATAATAGATTGCAAGTAGCCTCAATGATTACAATCTTTTTTTTTATAAAATTGTTTTTAAAGATACTTTCTAGTTCTAGTTTTCCTTTCATATCTTTGCAGATTTACAGTATGACTTTGAGATTGTCGGCCTTATTTGAAGAAAAAATGAAGAAAATCTCCTCTGATTTTAAAGTTGGCCAAAAATTCAATGAAAAACTTCGAAGAAGCCAGAGGTTCAAGAGACGGCAAAGTTGTAATCGCATCAATCAGGCTAACAAAAGTATCAGGTGAATTGGTTATTGTATTGTAGGCTTTGTGTGCAATTTAAAAAAGTTTCAGGTTGTGATACTTCTTTGATTTTATTATACTAAAAATTGTTAATGATTTTAGAGTATAGCATATTCAGAAAAGAATAGTCATTTTTTATGGCTTGAAGGCATTCTGTGTATATAGAGCTGTTGTATTGATTTGTAATTGTGTAAATTTGTAAGCTTTTAATGAAAATCATCAACTTTTAAAATCTTATTAAGAATTATTTAAAGTATCATTTACTTTTTGCATTAGAAACTTTTTTTTTTAATGCAGAGAGTAGAGTGATTACTATGTATGGCTGTTGAGCACTTGATTGCGTTAAGGAAAAATGTCGCTTAGATACAATGCACCCTGTTTTTACTGAGGATTAGTTGTAAAGAAGAAATATAAAATGTAGTGTTTATTCTCTTTATCAGTAATTTCATATTTATATTCTTTCTTCTTTGTGTGGCTTACAGGTATTTTAAAGTTTTGAAATGGGAAAATTGAGTTATTTGGCATTTCCCTGTACATTTTGAATGTGCACTATACCCTTGATGGGTTTCTTCATGATTGTTCTGGGGATTACATTATGCATCTCAATTCAAAACAGTCTGCTTTAGATTCATACTGTTTAGTTCCCATAGTTAAAAGAATTTTGTTCTAGTTTAGCTCCCTTTCCTCCAGTATTTGTGCTATTATTGTCAAACAGATTACATCTTTATACGTTATGTTTTATGCAGTTGTCTTTTAAATCAGTTAAGAAAAGAATAAAAAATTATTTATACTGTTATTTATATTTACCTACATAATTACCTTTCCCAGTGGTCTTTATTTTTGTGGATTTGAGTTATTACTCTTTGGTGTCATTTCTTTTTAGCCTGAAGTCTTTTAGGATTTCTTGTAAGGCAGGTGTGTTAGCGATTAATTCTGTTAGTCTTTGTTTATCTGGGAATGTCTTGACTTCATTTTCTTTATGGAAGACTAGTTTTGCTGGATATAGAATTTTTAGTTGATGGTGTTTTCCTTTTGGCATTGTGAGTATTTCATCCCACTGCCTGCTGAACTCCATTGTTTCTGACCAGAAGTGAGCTATTATACTTATTGAGGTTCCCTCCTTTGTACATATGGAGGTGTTTTTCTCTTGTTGCTTTCAAGGTTTCCCTCTTGTCTTTATCTTGTAACTGATTATGATGTGTGCAGTTGTGGGTTTTTCCTCTTTGGAATTTGTCCAGCTTTGTGGATGTGTAATGTTTTTCATCAAATTTGAGTGGTTTTCAGTCTTTATTTCTTCAAGTTTTTTTTTCTGCCCCTTTTGGGGCTCTCTGAGGCTCTTTATTTTTCTTTCTGTTCTTCAAACTGAATAATCTGTATTGACATACTTTCAAGTTCACTGATTCTTGTATCAGCGCATATCTGCTATTGGGCCCATCTTGTGAATATTTATTTCAGTTATGTATTTTTCAACTCCAGAATTTCTCTTTGGTTTGCTTTTTTATAATTTCTGTCTCTCTTTTTTTTTTTTTTTTGTGAGGATGGTCAGTCCTGAGCTAACATCCGATGCCAACGCTCCTATTTTTTTTTGCTGAGGAAGATTAGCCCTGAGCTAACATCTGCCAATCCTCCTCTTTTTGCTGAGGAAGATTGGCCCTGGGCTGAAACATCTGTGCCCATCTTCCTCTACTTTATATGGGATGCTGCCACAGCATGGCTTGACAAGTGGTATGTTGGTGCACGCCTGGGATCCGAACCTGTGAACCCTGGGTCACCGAAGCGGAGCGCACGCACTTAACTACTGCACCACCGGGCTGGCCCTATAATTTCTGTCTCTCTATTGATGTTCTCTGTCATCATAGTTTCCTTTAATTCTATAAATATGATTTCATTTAGTTTTTCAAACATATTTATCATAGCTGATTTAAATGTCTTTAGTTCAGCATCTGGGTCCTCTCAGAGACAGTTTCTTTGACTGCATTTTTTTCCTGTATATGGACAAACTTTCCCGTTTCTTGTTATGTCTCATAATTTCTGTTGAAAACTGGACATATTTAATAATATAACATGGCAACTCTGGAAATCACTTCTCTTCTAGGTTTTGTTGTTGCTGTTTCTTGTTAACATATTGTAGCAACTCTGGATTCTGATTCTTCTCCCTTGGTGTTGGTGGTTGTTGCTGGTTTTGTTTGTTTAGTGAGTTGCCTATAGAAAGACTGTAGAGTCTTTCTTCCCTACAGTGTTCAGCCACTGAAGTCTGCTGCTTTTTTTAAAAAATATATATATTTTTAAAAATTTTGAGCTTGGCTCTTAGCTCAATGGTCAGAATTTATGTTTAAACACTTTAAGGCTTCCACCCTTTTCTGAAGGAGTCTGTGTGTGAGGTGGGGCAAACTTCATTTTCTGCTTGTATTTTACTACATGTAAGAGTCTCAAGGTCAGCCAAGGATGAGTAGATAACCGGGCTCTCTCCAGTCTTTCTTGAATATTTATGTGGCATCTTCCACATTCCCAGGAAGATGTTGGAGCTTTTCAAAGACTCCTATGACTGCCTCATTCCCTAGATTTCTTCTTTGAATTTCTGGCTTAACTGTTTCTTGCTTCAACCAGTATCACAGCCTTAGGCAGCCATGCTTTTGGCCTTTCTGGATTGCCGGTAATGTTTTTAGTGCTCTTGGGCATGCAGCTATTCTGGGGAGTTCCCAAATCAGGCCAGCTTCCTCCACCTGCTAGTCCTGGTCCCCAAGGCTATCATGCCACAGAATTGGGGTTTGTGTGTGACTGGGAGCAGCCTCCAGTGAAAATGCCAAAGGCTTGACTGTTTTTACTTAGATTCAGAAGTTTTTCTTGAATAAACGTTTTTTAATTTGTTACATGCCTTAGATTACATTCTGGAGTTCTGAAATGGTTGTTTTGGATTCTTTTCCAGTTTTATTTTTGCTTTTTGGGTGAGAGGATTTGTTGAAGTCCTCATGGTATCCCTGCCCCCTATGTTAGAATAGCCAGAGCCTCATTGAAACAGACAAATAGACTCATTAGATAAATGATTTGGTCCTGTTCAGCTGCTTTGCAATCTGTAATTGATGTGTGCACATCACAATGTCCTATGGGAGTCCTTGGCCTTCCCCACCTCTTTTTTTAAACTTTTCTTTTTGAAATAATTTCAGAATTGCAGAAAAGTTGACTTTATCTGGATTCACCAGTTGCTCACATTATCACATTTGCTTTATTGTTGCCTTATCAATACTCTTGTTCTTTTAAATCACTGAAAAGAATATTTCTGACATCGCGCTCCTTTCATTACCCCTAAATACTTAGTGTGGATTTGCTAAGAAGGTTCTAACCTTATTTGTATTTCTACAGTTGACCCAATAATGTCCTTAGGGCAAATTTTTTTTCCTTAATCTAGATCGAATTAAGATCATTTAGTTGCTTTATCTCTTTAGTCTCTTTTAATCTGGAATTTTATTTTCAACCTTTGTCTTCTTGATAGACATTTCTGAGGAGTATGGGTCATTTATTTTATAAAATGACCCTCAGTTTGGGTTTGTCTGTTATTGTATACGTTTTTAACTTTTTTGTTTAATTATTTTTAAAAACTCTACATTTTCTTTGAACTAAGGAAGAGTCTTAACAGTTCAGAAAGATATAGGATAAAAAGGGAAAGTTTTCACTCTTGAGGTATTACTACCTTATCAGAAATCAAGTTTATGATAAGTATAAGCATGTAATTATTATATTTTGTATTTACTGGTCTGCCCTCCAGTTGATATTAATGGAAGTTAAAATTTTGACATAATCTTGAATTTTCTTGATTATGATAAACAGTTACTGCTTTAAAGAATTGTGGTTATCTTTAAGCTCAAATGCCTTAGATAATTCTAAAAGCTCCTTTATCTTTTTGTTTTAAAGGAAAATAGGATTATCTCAACCTGACTGTTATGTTAGCTAGATCGGTAATATAAAACCAAAGACTGTCTTGTCTTTAACTTCTGCTCTTTTTCCCCATAATCCATGGCTCAGGGGCCAAACATGGTGCACTGGTACTTAGATGTAAACAGATTGGTTTTAGAAACAAACTGACTTGTTCCGATCTCTTTTTTGCCTGTTTTTTACACTGTTCAGGTTTTACTGATTTCTCCTCTTAATTTTATACTGTCTTTAGGAAGATATAGGAGACTAGAGAGCAAGTCATGTCATATTGAGACTCAAATTTGTAATATGAATGAATGCCTGTATTACCTAAATGTTGGTTTCCCCCAGCGTTTAATCCAAAGAACCTCAAGTATCCAGCATGATTGTCTGTAACTCTGTTACTTGGATCATTTTGTTCATTACTCCAATCTGGAATAAAACGATGTCAAATTTAGAGTAAGAGAATATTAATAGTAATCCATGCCAGAGTAAAATGTTAATAATGAATATTTGAATGTCTTGATCATAAAATTATTCTCAGATTAAGTAATAATACACTTTTATTTAGACATTCTCTGTTTTATTAAATATTGTTTCTTTTGTTCATATCTTTGACCAGAAATATCAAGCAGAAGCGGTTAAAATCTCAGACAAAAGTAATTCCTGAGTTGGTAGGTTCTCCTATCCAGTCTACCTCAAGTAGGGCCGCTCATTCTGCAAGCCGCAAGATGAGTGCTAGTGTCTCTTCGGGTGTTACTTCTGATAACTCTTCAGATTCAGCAGGATCATCAGAAAGAATGAGAAGAAACAGACCTGTCACTCTAACAAATGGTTCCACATTATCTGGTGAGAAGTGGAACATGATGTTATCAACTGTTGAGCACTCGAGTGTGTAACACTGCTAGTTACTATGGGTTTAGAGGAAAGAATAAATAAATAAGACATGGCCTTGGCATTCAAGAATTTACAATTCAACAGAAGAGGCAAAAGTAACAAATCTGGTACAATTAGAATATGTTTTTTAAGTACTCTTCTTTGCAAATGGTGCAGCCACATTTTATGCAAATTTAAATTCTCCAAATTTTATTTTATTTATTTTTTATGTGAGGAAGATTAGCCCTGAACTAACATCTGTTGCCAATCCTCCTCTTTTTGCTGAGGAAGATTGGCCCTGGGCTAACATCCATGCCCATCTTCCTCTGCTTTATATGGGACGCTGCCACAGCATGGCTTGGCAAGTGGTGCATCAGTCCGCGCCAGGATCCAAACCTGTGAACCCCGGGCCGCTGAAGCAGAGCATGCGAACTTAACTGCTGTGCCACTGGGCCACCCCCGACTATGTCTTTTCTATAGGAAATGCCTGTCTCATGTAACAGAAGGAAAGGGAGAGGATAGTGGGGCTAATTAAATTTTTAAATGGAAGTTTGTTTTATTTATAAAATATATAAACTGTATTTTCTTCTGAATCTAAACCAGGATTAATATGTTCCTTTCAGAAATAGGACAACAAACCTGATTTGGAATGCTGCTTATGTACCTTTTCTTACCAAAATTTTATCAGCTGTTCCTTGAAACAATTTTTTAAAATATACTCTGTTCTAAGCATTTTAAGAATCTGCTTTTAGTCTATTGTTATGAAGTAACTGTTTATGTGTGTAGTAAAGATGGGATAATATATATAACGGACTCTTGATGCTTTTTCTTAGAGAGCGAAATGGAAGATTCGTTAGGTACCTCATCATCATCTTCAGCTTCAAACAGTTCAGAGGACAGCAAAGACAGTTTAAGAGCTCGTGAATCCTCTTTACGTAGTGGGCTGGCCAGAAACACCAATCTCAGGGTGACCAGAACCAGAGCTGCTCAGAGAAAAACTGGTAAGAGACTCAGTGGTACTTTGTAGGAATGTATAGCAAGAGAATCCAAAAGCTAAACATGGAATGGCTTATTGATTTAATACATCTACATGTGATTAAGTGTCCTTGAGGCTTTTTTATTTTAATTGAGGTATAATTGACATATAACATTGTTAGTTTCAGGTGTACAGCATAATCATTCGATATTTGTATACACTGCAAAATGATCCCCTCAATAAGTCTAGTTACCATTCATCACCATACATAGTTAGAAAAATTTTTTCTTGTGATGAAGACTTTTAAGATTTATTCTCTTAGCAACTTGCATATATGCATCATGGTATTATTAACTGTAGTCATCATGCTGTACATTATATCTCCATGACTTATTTTATAACTGGAAGTTTGTACTTTTTGACCTCCTTCACTCATTTCACCCCCTACCCTCCAATCTGTTCTCTGTATCTAAGAGCTGGGTTTTTTTTTTTTTTTTTTTTTTAGATTTCCATATATGAGATCATATAGTATTTGTCTTTCTCTGTCTGATTTATTTCACTTAGCATAATGCCTTCAAGGTCCATCCATGTTGTTCAAATGGCAAGATTCCATTCTTTTTTATGGTTGAAGAGTATTCAATTGTGTAGATATACCACCTCTTTATCTATTCATTCATTGATGGACACTTAGGTTGTTTCCATATCTTGGCTATTGTAAAAAATGCTGCAGTGAACATGGAAGTGTGTATATCTGTCTGAGTTAGTGTTTTCATTTCTTTGGATAAATATCCAGAAGTGGAATTTCTGGATCATATGGTAGTTCTATTTTTAACTTCTTGAGGAACCTCCCTACTATTTTCCATAGTGGCTGCACCAATTTACATTCCCACCAACAGTGCACAAGGGTTCCCCTTTTTCTGCATCCTCACCAACACTTGTTATTTCTTATCTTTTTGATAATAGCCATTCTAAAAGGGTTGAGGTGATATCTCATTGTGGTTTTGGTTTGCATTTCCCTGATGATTAGTGATGTTGAACATCTTTTCATGTGCCTGTTGGCCATCTGTATGTCTTCTTTGGAAAAATGTATATTCAGATCCTCTGCTCATTTTTTTAATTGGATTGTTGTTTTTTTTAATATTGAGTTGTTTATATATTTTGGATATTAACCCCTAATCAGATATATGACTTACAAATATTTTTTCCCATTCAGTAAGTTGCCTTTTCATTTTGTTGATGATTTCTTTCTTTTTTTTTTTGTGAGGAAGATCAGCTCTGAGCTAACATCCAATGCCAATCCTCCATCTTTACGCTGAGGAGGATTGGCCCTGGGCTAACATCCGTCCCCATCTTTCTCTACTTTATATGGGACGCTGCCACAGCATGGCTTGACAAGTGGTGCGTCGGTGCGCGCCTGGGATCCAAACCTATGAACCCCGGGCTGCCAAAGTGGCGCGTGAGCACTTAACTGCTGCGCCACCGGGCCAGCCCCTGTTGATGATTTCCTTAGCTGTGCAGAAGCATTTTCGTTTGATGTAGTCCCACTTGTTTATTTTTGCTTTTGTTGCCTTTGCTTTTGGAGTGAGATCCAAAAACTCATCACCAAGACTGATGTCAAAGAGCTTCTCGCCTGTGTTTTCTTCTAGGAGTTTTATGATTTCAGGTCTTACATTCAAGTCTTTAATACATTTTGAGTTAATTTTTGTGTATCGTGTAAGACAGGAGTCTAGTTTCATTCTTTTCTATGTGGCTGTTCAGTTTTCCGAGCACCATTTATTGAAGAGACTGTCCTTTCCCCATTGTATAATCTTGCCTCCTTTGTCATAAATTAAATGACCATATACATGAGTTTATTTTTGGGCTCTCTACTCTGTTTTATCCTTTAGGCTGTTTAGATTTAGAAAGAAAATCTAGTTTGGCATTAAAAAACAAGGAACATCAGTACTAAAATAATAAAGGCATTAAAAAATGTTAAAATAAGGAAGATCTTTCTGATCTTATTGTTACTTTATTTCTAGGTCCAATTTCTTTAGAAAATGGATGTGGCCGAAAAGCTACTCGAAAGAGAGTCTATTTAAGTGACTCTGATAACAATTCATTAGAAACTGGTGAAAGTCTAAAAGCCAGAGCTGGAAATAACCGGAAAGTGCTACGAAAGTGTGCTGCTGTGGCTGCCAATAAGATAAAGCTCATGAGTGATGTAGAGGAGAATTCTAGCTCTGAGAGTGTCTGTTCTGGCCGTAAGCTGCCTCACCGCAATGCTTCTGCTGTAGCTAGAAAAAAGTTACTACATAATTCTGAAGATGATCACAGCTTAAAGTCAGAAATTGAAGAAGAGGAGTTAAAAGATCGAAATCAACCATCACCATTGTCCAATTCTCATGCTGCCCAGAATACTGTCAGTGAATCTGAAAATAGAGATTCAGAGTCAGAAAGTGATTTACGGGTAGCCCGAAAAAATTGGCATGCTAATGGGTTCAAGTCCTATACTCCAGCAACTTCTAAAACAAAATTTCTTAAAATAGAGTCTTCTGAGGAAGACTCTAAAAGTCATGATTCAGATAACAGGCATAACAGAATTGCTGGCCCATCAACGTCTGGGCAGAAACTTAAGGCAGAACGCATCTCAGAGGAAGAGGAGGAAGCAGATTCTGAACCAAGAAAATATGTTGGTAGGAAATACAGCACAAGTCGCAAGAATGCTACTTTCCTTAAAAAAGCAAAGATCTTCAGTGATTCAGAGGACTCCGAATCGGAAGAACAAGATAGAGAAGATGGTAAATGTCACAAAATGGAAACAAACCAGATTTCAGAGAATTTGAAGTGTGAACCTAGTGCTGGGTCCCAGTGTTTCTCAGATCATGTATCTGAAACTGATTTGGATTCAGAGGATGACAAGATAAAAGAAAAACCAAGCAGTTTTATGAAAGGTAATTCGAAACATTTAACCCTCGTTCACTGATTATTCTCACTGTCCTTTCCTTATAGCATACGATGCTTTTTTTCCCCGATGAAACTTCTTTTACCAGCTGTTTTCTCTCCACCTTGTGCATCCTGCGTGAGTCTTTTCTGTGCATCTCTTAATATTCCTATGTGCATGCGTAACTGTTTGTCAGGTACATTCAGTTTTATTCATGTAACAGGCAATCTTGGCCTTTAATGACTATTTCTACTAAAAATTTCACTTCTTGTACTGGTGTTGGGAATATTGTATTGGCTATGGGTTTAAGAAAAGCAGAGACAAGCACGTTTATAAGCTGTGGCGATAACAGTTTGAGAAGAGGAAAGAAAAGGGTAGGACTGGTTGAAAAGAATGCAGTAAGTAATAATAATAATAATAATAATAGCAGCTAACAGAACAGTTACCGAGCTGTGTCTGTGTATCAGCAAGTTTTTCTAAGTGCTTTACATTTATTAACCATTTTAGTCTTCCTATCTTTTATGAGATAGGGGCTATTATTATTATTGTCCATTTTACTGATAATAACTCTGGAGCATGGAGAAGTGAAATAACTTGCTGAATTAAGATTGTCCTCCTGGTGAATGGGGATTGATGAAATATATTAAAGAGCAGGAGGCAGCTAAAGCTAAGATTTAAAAGTAGTTGGTATGATTGGAATTTGTGAAAGTAAGAAAAGTTTCAGGAAGGCTGAGAGTCAGGATTAGTTTGTATACCTTAATGCAGTGGGATAGTTTAGTCTGTGTTCATGTAAATAAAATATTTTAGCGTCAAGTGTTTTGTGTGTGTAGATAGAAAGGCATGGGATGTTATTGATGGGAATATGTTATACTTGTGAATGGTGCTGAGGCTGAAAGTCACCGCTCTCGAGTATTAAGAACCCGGCCCAGTCACTGCCATCCTCCTACCAGGTTAATGAGAATTCTGGACTTAAGTTATTTAAAATGTTGTACATTTGATTCCTTTAGACTTACTCTTCTATTAAAGATTAAAGGAATACTCTTAATTTTTAGATTCTACATCACAAGACCATGGACAAAGCAGAAGAGTTTCCAGGAAAAGGGTCTGTTCAAGTGACTCAGACAGCAATTCACAGGTGGTTAAGAAATCGCCAAAAGCCAAAATGGGTCTCCACAGGATTCCTCGAAAATGTGCAACCACCGCTGCCAGTAAGATTAAGCTCATGAGTGATGTGGAAGATGTCAGTTTACAAAATGTGTGTACTAGAAGCAGAAATGGAAGGAGAAAGCTCCACTTTGCATGTACCACAGCTAAGAAGATAGTGAGCGATTCTGAGGGAGATGTAAACTGTGAAGTGCCGAATGAACGGTATGCCTGTGCAGGGAAGCCACCTGAAGCTGACTCAGAAGGTAGTACAAAAAGTATTAATCAGTCTTTAAGTAGAGACTCAGACTCTGAAGGTATGTTCAATTCAGAACACAAAAACAGGCACACCAGTAGTCACAAAACAAATGTTGCACCTTCTAAAATGAAGAGTTCTTTGATTGGGTCTTCAGAGGAAGATTCAAAAAGCCATATTCTAGGGGGTGAGATGGGGAGAAAATTTTCTTCTGAGTCAACTTTGGTACAAAAAGCTACTGCAGAGAATAACTTTGAAGAGGAACTGAATTATGGGCTGCGCAGGTGGAATGGCAGAAGACTCAGGACCTATGGGAAGGCTCCTTTCAGTAAGACAGAAGTGATTCGTGATTCTCAGGAAGCAGCCGAGACGGAAATAAAAAGGAAAAGACGGCATCCTGAATTAGAAAATGTGAAAATTTCTGAAACAACAGGGAGTTCAAAATGTGGACCTGACACTAGTCCCAAATCTGACTCAGATTTGGGATCTGTAACTGAATCAGATGTTGACTGTACTGATGATACAAAAACCAAAAAGAGGAAAATGAAAGGAAAAGCAAAAGTAGTTAGAAAAGGTAAAACTTTTACAGCTAACATATCTAAAACTGTGAGACGACAAAGACAAAGCAAACGTCCTAGGTTAAATTTGGATGATAATGACTGGGAGGATTTGGACTATGCAAAATCTAAGAGAGTTCTTCGACGTTCAAAAATAAAAACGAGAAATCAGGGTAGAAGGACCGTGAGATACCATGATGGGGATGATGATAGAAGCTTAGAAAATGTGTTAGATTTTGATGATTGCACCTTATGACCTTGAGGGAAAACCAGTTCATTTAGAGGAAATGGACTGGAATTTATGGTGAAAGCTGGCTGTTGAAATTATTTTTTGTCCTACAATTCAGGGAATATATTTATATTTTTCTATGAAAAGTTATGAATGTGACTAAATCATGACTGTTATTTTTATTTGCACTTGCTTGCCTTTGTAGCAGCTTTCAGCACAGGTGCCAAAATATGCTTCATTTTGGGGGCAGATCTACTTTGACAGTATTTAACTACATATAGCAAGAGTTTGAAATATGTTAAACACTAGATATCCTGGTTATCAAAACCAATGAGCATTACTTTCATGGTAGCAAGTGTCATGCAGTTATTTTCTGAATTCTTCAAGAGGTGGTGGTTTCTAATCCCAGTTCTATTGTAGTATAACAATTTCATGTGACCTATGTTTACAGATTCTTCATAAATATGTGCATACTGACATTACAATCATGGGAGGTGTAACCATGATTATTAGTAGGCAAGGTACCTACCACTTTTTTTTTTTTTTTTCTTTCCCTGGCTACTTGAGTAGAATGCATTATACCAGATTTGGTAATTTTCATTGAAATAGTTTCCAGTTTTCTTTCCAAATGCTGTTGAGTCTTTCTTTCTCTTTTTTGTTATTTTTAAGGAAAATATCACTTTTATTTTATAAACTTGAATTTATAAAGTGCTGGTAAATTATTTTTTTTAAATGTTTTTAATTGTATATTTTAAACCGCTAAGGCCAGACCATAGTCCTAGCATTTTCTTTTTAAATTGTGCACTAACAGAATGCTATATAATTTGTCTTTCCAAGATCTCCTGGTTTCCATATAAGAGATTTAACCAAAATCTTGGTCTTCCATAGTCTTAACTCTGTGAAATGGAGGAGTTTGTGTGCCTTAGATTTAGGAAAAGTGTGTTCTTTAATAGAGTGTACAGGGCTAAAAGAGTATTTAAATATGTAGTTTCCCCCATTTCTATTGAAATTGTAGAGTTGAGTTTTGTTAAGAGTGCAATTGCAAATCTCATCTATATAGGAAAATAGTTCCATGTCATTCTTCATCTCTGTTTTAGCTTACTGCTGCCATGTGCAATCCCAAGCATTCTTTGCTGGGGCAACTAAGTGTATCTTTATTAGTGACCTCTAGTTTAAATCTAAGAAACTGTCATGTGTTGTGGGAAAGTAATTTTGAAATCCATTTAAAGTGAAACTTGTGTCACATGATAAAATACCATAGTACACTTATTTTTGAGCCAAATATTTTTACTTGATAAGTTGTGCTACTCCAAACAGTGTAGGTGGCTGTTCCTAGCTTGTTTGTGCCTGAAGATGGACTTGATTCAAATGGTTTACATATTTTGTAGTTAAGGGGTATGTTACAGTACTCCCACCTTTGTTATTTATTGGCCCTAACTGTGTGTGGTTTCAGACAAAATTAACTCCTTTCTCCTGTGTATCCTTAAGGTGGCAGATATGAAAAAGCGTAAGATCCTGGTATCAGTGTTAGAGAATGTTCTTAAGGGCTGTTACTTTTTAGTTATCTATTCCATTTGACATGGTAGAAGGTACTTTCTCTTTCTACTCGAATGTAAGGGGAAGGTTGTTTTTGGACATTACCAACTGAGATAAGTGGGATACCTACCTCTCCTTTGGTTGTTTAGAGAGCTATCACCACTTCAAAACTATGATGCTCTTCTTCTCAAAGTTGGTGTTAAGTGTATAGTAGACAGATTGATTTAGGATAATTGTCCTTGACTATTGACCTGAAAAAGTTAATGGAATGCTCTTTACTTCCCTAATTTTAAGAAACGGTAATAGATGTCATATCCATTAATTTATTTAAACTCTTCTTAAGCTTCTCTGTTTTATATCTGTTCTCAGGGTTATAACTCCATGTTTACCATCATCTGCAAAAAGGTACCAAAAAAATCCATATAAATAAATACGGGATACTTTCATAAATACATAAATTCTTTTGGTAAAATGATACTTTGACCATTGAGGCTTCATCAATAGAACTATTCTTATCTTTTGGACTGAATTAACTGTTCACTGATTGGCTGGTCAACCAATTACTATTTTTTCATTTTGTCCAAAATGGTTAGACCCTTTTGTATAGAAGCAGTATTTTGGTTTCATCTGAAAAAACAAGAATTCACCTGGTGACTTGGAAAGCATGGTTGACAATGGTAGCTTCTCAAGTTCTGAAGTAAAACTAAGGAATTAGAGAGAGAATCATTTTTATGGGTTTTTTTGGTCATGGTGCTACTCCTAAGTATGAATATGTGACACACACTCCTACGTACCTTTAAGGAAAATTAATAAATAATTAATAGTTCAAAATGTTTACATTGAGCACTAGAACATGTTTGACTTTTTTCTACTTCTCTTTACGTGAAATGCGCAGGGATTTAATGCACAGATGTACTTTAGTATGTTTGGGATCAGTTTGCATTTTTCTTGTGAAAAAAGACAAAAGGTGACACATTGAATGTGAACTGATCCAGAAGTAAGTGCTATAGCTTTCCATTGCACTTGAAGTAACTTAATGGTGTATATGAAAAAAGACTACTGTGGTTATGTATGTCCAAAGTCCTATGATATTATTCATTTATGGTTAAAAAAAGGTTGGAGGTATTTGGATTTGATTTTTGATTCCTTTGAAAGAATAATTTTACCCAGCATCTTAGAAAAAAAGATTTCAAACATTTAAAAAATAGGTAGGTGAGATTTAAAAAGCATTTTTTTTCATATCCTACTTATTTAAAAAAGGGTATACTGATAATATGTAGTAACTTCTGAATAAAAGAAAGTTTATCCCATTTTCAGGTAGTTCTTAGGCTGGTCATTCTCCCTTTTTTACTCTAGGGGAAAACTCTCTGATTAAATCCTTTCTCAATTTAGTAATCCTTGGAAAGACTCAATTTAGTAATCCTTGGAAAGAATGATAAAGCAGTTACAGCTTCTAAGTTACAACACAAAAGTGTTTTCTAAATAGTGGAGAGTTGTACCTAAAAAGGAAATTAGTTTTATAATAATAGGGAGAAAGAACTTATGTTTTAGGAAAAGGCACTTCAAAACCTAGAAGTGCACATGGACAAAGGAGACATAAAACAAACCAATAAAAATACTGTCTGAAGGTACTACTGTCCAAAAATAAGAATAAGACATGTCACTAAATCCTTCACACTCCATTAGTTGATTACTCTCAAGTAAAATTCTTATTTAGAATAATGTTGGGTCCATACTACATTCCCTGTCCCTTTCCTATCCTTTTTTCCTTTAGAATAATCAGAACAAAGAATTTATTAACTTCACTGTATGGTATTAAAAACTAAATTGAAAGGATTTTAATCTCTTTTGTCAGTATAAATTGAATTTGATTGTGCCACCTGAAAAAAATGAGAGGTTTATGTATCAGTAGAATGCAAGAACATTGTTAAAGGTGCATACAGTATTTTTGGTTTCCCTTTTTACTCAGTTGTATTGATTTTTTGAGTAACTTCTAAATGGCTAGGAAAGGTCTTTTTGCCTTGCCCTTTTATAGCTGAAATACCAGCACCATTCTTTTCATCAATATGAAGTCAGTATATTTACTTCATCAGGTATCTTGTTGTGGTCACCAAATACTTTAGTTTTCTTATATTGTATGGAAATTCTATTCAGTTATGCCTAGTCTGATGGAGTACAACAAAACACCTTCATTGTAGAAGAACTTTCTGTCTTCATTATTTTTTAAGTTATATACCTCTCAACTTCTGCTGTGGACATCAGGGAATAATAAAGCAGAAACCCTAAGAATTTTCAACTTAACAGTTTAAAGACTGTCTCCTTTTCTAGTAGTTGGGAACATACAAACCAAACTAAATAAATTTGTGAAAGCTAGGAAGAAAATGGAGCATTGTGGAAAAATCGAGTACAACTAGATTTGTAAGTGCTAATCCTACTTTTAGTTCAAATTGTGAATTAATGGAAAGGACTGAAGTGTAAAGAGTGTAATGGTGAGGGCTGTGTTGTCTTTTCTCACATTTTAAGAAAAGTTTTTATAGTTGTTTTCTTAAATTACAGATGTTGCCTAAGGATACATGGGATTCTCAAAGTTAAGAGATTTTTACCAGTCACTCATAATCTGCCAAGCTGGTTCCTAATATATTGTTAATTTTGGTAGGAAAATATCAAGACTCTTACTTGGCATCTCCTCAAGGATTGCTTTTATGAATTTGATCGAGGGAGGTCTGGGGGGGCCAGTCACAGCATTTGGGTCCTACAAATCTGCAGGCTCTATCTTTGGCAGCATGTCATGTAAGTAACTATAGATTATTTGTCAAGGCTGATAGTTTCACTGAATTTAATTGGCAGTGCTACAACATATTTTCTGGTCATAATTTAGTTTTTCAGTTAATTTTAAGGTAAGTTTTATCATTTATTAAAAGCTTTAATGGAATTTGGACTGCTAAAGAGATAGAGGCATTCTGACTGACCTAATTGAAATGAGATGACCAGTTACAGACCGTACTGACTGCAGCAGCCAGCCGTATGTACCGTTGGTTCCACAAGGAAAATTATTTAGAAATTATTACCTTTTACGATCAGTGGCTAAATGTTACAGGAATCTTTAATTTTGAATATATTGAAGTTAAATTTTTAAGTGTTGATCTATACTTAGTCCTTGGATTGATTGTACACATTCAGTTCACCAGTAAAATTCTAACCATTTTATTGGAGCCTGTCAAAAAGGCCAATTTTCTACTCCCACACAAGATCTCTACTTTAACTTTCTAAATTAACTCATTACCACGTCTGAGTCTTAGCATTGTCATCTAGAAGCCAGTTTTTTAGTCAATTACTAACTAAAGTAGTAGCATATAATAAATTTAATCTAGTCATCCTAATGACAAGCAGAAGGCTTTTTTTTTTTTTAAACTACTTCAAGCTTTCTAGCTGGTTAATTCTGTAAGGTGTGCAATATGCAATCAATTTCTTTTGCAACTCATCTTGACCTCTTGTCTTAAGCTGCTCCCTAACCTCTATCCATTTGTGATGTCTTCTCATGCAGGCAGAATGCAGGGCTACATGTTGTATGAGCCAGGGGAAACTGAAGGGAGTCATGAGATGTGCTTGAAAAGGGCGTGTCATTGGATTGTCTGTGACCCTGCTGCTTTTCATTAGTAAAGTAATAAAGTAGATTGAAAACCCAGTATTTACTTCTGATACCTTATGCTGCCTATGTTAGTTTGAAATGCTCTGAGATATCTCTTAAAAAAAGTTCATTAAGCAGATAAGTGTAAGATCCCTGAATTCATACTTCAAAGAGCTTTTATCAGATTTTTAGGAAAAAATTGCAATAGCCATCACAAATCTTGTGAGAATCATAAGAATGACTGTTACCAATGAACTGTTTCTTAGAGAAGAGAGAAAACTGTATAGTGATTAGTAGATTAGCTGTAGATGCAAAACAAAACAATGGAAGGTTCTGTGGTGCCCACCACTGAGTATACTGAAGACTTAACAGATGATCTATTCAACCAAAGAAGTGATGAAACTAGCAAAGAAGAACTCTGGATTACGGAATTATTTCTGACAGTCTCTTGACCTGACAATGCCATATGGTAGAAGTTGACTTCTCAGTGTTACTAACTCACTCTAGAAAAGAAAAGAAAAATGTTAAACCCAGTGAGTTACAGAAAACACTTTATTCTACAGTCATTCCCTAAAGAGATTTTTCAGTTTATGGGATCCTTTTGGAAACTTAGGCTTTAGGAGTGATGAATATCGGTGCTAAATGCTGTTTGCTTCCTGAGTTTTGGTCTTTTCATTGCCATCAGTAAAGGGCAGACAACAAAGAAAGGACATCTCAAACCAGCTCTGCAGAAGGCTTCCCCTCTCTATGGATTTGATTTATCCACCAACTACAGCAACCAATAGTGTCAGTACTTAAAAAATATATGAAACAACCTAGTATGTTCTTTTCATTTTGATTCAGACATTCTTGCATGTCATTTTCCATTCTTAAGTTTGTTTTTAATACTCCAGTTAAAATGCTGATGAGATTAAAAGGTTTTAGACTTCTACAGAATTGATGTGAAGTTTACTTTGGATTTAGGAAAACAATTTTGTATCCTGAAGTATCAAATTGGAATATAAATAATCCTTAAAATACAGAAGCTAGAGATTATTGCTTTGAATCAAAACTGTAACATCTATATCCAAGTTTCTATTCACCACAGACCTTAGAATACACAGTGATTTGTGAGTTAAAGTGGTCATCTAGGTAAACTATGATGGAGTACTACTAAAGATGTAAATTTTTACACTACTAATGAGGTTTTTGCCATATCCACATAGGGAATCATTTACAGGAAAGCAACAATGCCTCAAGCACTCAGTGACAACTGTAACACACGACTGACTCAAGACCATTTGGGACAGTAGGACTTGTGGAATTGTACTGACTTGTTAGTATTACATAACACTATTCACAAATGTATTGTTAGAGCAGTATCCTCCCAAATTTTTAAGCTTGTACCCTAACATATAAATTGGACTTCTCTAACTGAATTAGCCTGTATATATTTCTAAAAACTGTTTGTAGTTTTCTCAAGGAGAATAAAGCACTTTATAATTTACCAAGTTCTCAGTAATAAAGTTAACACTGACTTACATGTATGTATTATTTTTTTTTAATTCCCTACACTGTCACTCTTCTGTTTTCCTTGATTCTGTTTTTTATCTTTATTCTATGAAATTCCCATTTTATGGAAATAAGACTTGAGAGATACAGCTTTATCAAGCTGGAGTTGTACACAATATAATTTATTCCCATATTCTCCCTCTGGACATAGTTATTTCTTTGAAGTTCAGATTTCCTTAAAGCATTTTTAAAAGCCTAATCATACTTTCCTTTGTAGAATCTTAACTGTTTCCCCTTATTTTGGATTACAAATAAGCATTTATTAAAATGTCTTAGAGTTAGTATTTACTAGGTTCCTAAATTGTCAGTATAGGTACTCCCATCACTATGTCAGAAAGGAATTGCTGCAACTTAAGTCATTTTGTCCAAAAGAAAATTTTAGTTGAAATAGGATTTTATCTATACTGTTTAACTGGATACGTTGTTGGGAATGAGCCAGTTGTTTTAATGTTTTTTCAACATGCAAATGGATGCAGTTAGTTGAGTGATACTAGTATATGCTCATCCTACAATAAAGTACAAATTTCACCTTAATTTTGCTATATATTTTTAAAAACTTTTCATTTATCTGTTGTAGCACATTAATTTATATTCTAGCATTTGCCTAACATTGATTTAATGTGCTCAAGATTCACTTTGGATCTAGGGTTGGTCTGCAGAGCCA